CAACCAAGTATTTTGCATCTACCAACATGGCTCAGACTAGAAGTTAGTGACTTCAAGCACTGATGCAACGTTTTAGTTTGGCCGCCCCTAACTTTCTTCCAACCATTTCTAATACCGGATAGCATTGCACGTCGTGGTAATCGGTGTTCAGGCATACGTAACACGTGGTAAGAGTCAGTAATTTATGAAGTACAAGTTGGAATAAATACGGACTAGATAGGGAAACCAATAGTAAAACTAGGTCACATACGTTCGATAACGAAGACCAAGTAATTTTCGATTAGCTCACAACGCGAAACATAAATTCAATCTATGATATATTGGATTGTACGTGGAAAAGTTAAAACAATACTAAGAGTAAACCTAAGCAGGTCAGCAAACGTTGGGTACGCGAGAGATGCTGTTGTACTCTGGTCACAAAGAAAAACATGGTTCGCACACACAAGCAGTTGCACTGATGCTGTCCAAAGAAGCACGAAGAGCACTCATAAAATGAGAATCTCATGAATACAGGATCATCAAAGCATCATTCAAAACAAAGGAGGAAATTACGACGAATATTACTCAACATTATGCCCACACCAATTATAGCAATGACGATTATAAAGATCGGTTCTACAGAAGGCTGCAATCGATCGAGAAGAAGCACACAGCAAAGAACCTGAACATTCTGATGAGAGACTTAAATGTTAGTCGGAATGGACGACACCAGGTATGAAGATATCATGAGACGACATGGACTAACTAGAAGAAACGGACGAGAATGATGAGGAACTTGCAAATCTATGTGCATCCACCAAATTGGTTATAGGTAGTACAACATTCCCACACAGACACATGCACAAAGCTACATGGATCTCACTCGACCACACTACAAAGAACTAGATCGGGGTGACTAAAACACTTCAGAAAGACAATGGAAGACGTGAGAACCAAGAGAGAAGTTGACATAGCTTCAGATCACCACCTGGCTGTGGCTAAGATGGAACTGAAGCTAAAGAAGCACCGGACAACTTGATAAGCAGCATTAAAAAGGCTTCATACAGCCTTACTTCGAGATACAAGCTCGATGAATTCAAGATAACTCTCAGCAATAATTTTCGAGCCTTGGAAGAATTACTCGAAGAATGCGAAACTACTATGGAAAACAACAGGAAAGGGATCAAAGAAGCATTGACTTTAACGTGTCAGGGGGTTCTGGGCCACAACAAGCACCATCATAAAGAATAGGTCTCCATTGAAACCCTGAGCGTCAGGAAAGGTTTTCAACAGTGCGTTGCTGAACCACATGAAAGATTTTGGTAGACGTCCAAATTCGAGATCAACAAGCTGGATTCCGTAAGAATCCGTCGTGCACAGACCAAATCATGACACTACGGATCATTGTCGAACAATCATTTGAACGAGACTCATGACTATACATCAAGTTCATTGATTATGAGAAAGTATGAGTGTGAATAGGAGAACGTTATGGAAAATTTTTCGTCACTACGGTGTACCTGAGAAGATCGTAAACACCACACGGAATTCATACAGCGGACTACACTGCAAAGTCGTGCATAGAAGACACCTGACAGATGCATTCCAAGTTAGGACTGTTATCAGACATTGTCAGGCTGCTTACTCTCACCCTTCCTCTTTCTTCTGGTGGTTGACTGGATAACAAGGACCCCCAGATCCCAGAAGGAACACGGAGTACAATGGACAGCTTGCATGTAGCTACGTGATTTGGACTTCGCAGATGACATAGCCTTTCTACTCCACACACATCAACAAATGCAGGCCATTACAAACAGTGTAGCAGCAACCAATATCAAAGTCAGAATGTTTAACGTAAAACTTAAGACAGCTTTACTGGAACTTGGTGAACTACAACTATCATTAAAAAGTAAAGGTATTCGTAAACGGTTGTCAAAACAAGACAATGTCCTTTGGTTTAATGTCATCAGTAATAGCCTGCTGTGCGAGGGAACAAGCGAGCTTCTAACTGAAGAGAGAATCAGGAAAAGACGTTAGAGGTGGGTGGGATATACATTGCGGAAATCACCAAACTGCATCACGAGGCAAACACTAACTTGTAATCCTGAATATTAAGAGGTGATATATTCGCAAAAGGTCAAGACAGATTGAAGTAATGAGGTAACGTTTACTTGAAGTTCAAAAACACTTCTACTTGTGAGACCTTTATGCTCGAAACATACCAACTAGGCCAAACCAGAACTAAGAAATGAATGAGTCCAAAGATATATCATTAAAGCCATTGATGTATCATGGAGCATTTGGTCTATGTTGTATGGTAGTTGATAGGTATTCGTAGCTCAGCGTACCCACTCGCGATCTGGTGTGAATACATGACCAGGCACCTTCAAGTAGGGTGCGTCCAGTAAGACTAATGAGACCAACATCAATTTCTAAGACTTACTGAACAATTTATTTGAGGGCTTGTATACCGCAAAAGAAGCATGATTTATAAAAATATACTGAACTTTGTCCTTCTTAACTTAATCCATGTTTGAAATATATGGTGGACAGTCGTCATAAGACATTGGTCCAACGATTAATTGCAACAGTACTATATACCTTTTAACATTTTCTTGCAAACAATAGTCGAGATTTGGTATTCAATGATATAACATATAGAATAGTTAAGCTGATCATTTGGATCTCCAAGCTGACTTCGATGATTTAGTTAGATGGGCTCGATGTTGGGGCATAGAAATCAATTCTAGGAATAGTGTGCTAATGCACATCGGTCACGGTAATAGTTAAAATTTTACTATTGATGGTAAACATCTTCCATGCGTTCAAGAACATAATGACTTAAGTCATGACTTAAAAACAACTACGCATTACAACACAGCCGCTGTAAAAGGTTTTCGTGCGTTATGGTCACTTCGCCGAGCGCTCAAATCTTTTGATGAGAATATGCTTCGAATTTTATATCCCACACATGTAAGACCACATTTTGAGCACTGTGTCCAAGCAACTAGCGCCCGTCTGGCAAAGTATACTTACTCGCTTGAGAGTGTTCAGCGTGTGGGAACGAAATCAGTCAAACATCTTCCTAAACTCCCTTACAATGAGCGTTTAAAACACCTAAACATTTCAACTTGTCGTATCGTAAGATACAGTGTGACCTTATATGGCATTCTGTATCTTTATTTATGATTTGAATGTTAATATGTATTAACTTTCTGCTCACCCCAGCACTAATAAACTCCGAGGTGTAGCCTGGCATCGAGCCGAGTTGCACTATGAACACCGCTACCAAGAAGCTCGTGCCAAATGACTCCATAAAATCCCCCGTGAAGCCAAATATCAGAAGGCAATTAATGGACCAAATTGAGGTTTATTAGCTGGCGATCTCGTGGCATCGAAAGGATATCAAGATCGTGCCAGGATACAAGCTTGGTTACAGAACGTAACCGAATTCGCGCGAAGTTATAATCAAAGTGTGTGAATAAGAATGGAAGATGTCATTAGCACAGTCAAATAAAAGCGCATTAAAACAAGCACTGGTACAGTTGGTTATAATAATAATTGTTTTTATTAAACCAGTCGTGTTCTCGTGATAAATGTGAGTCACTACAGGAGCCCCCGCTAGAAAGGTTTTACACTTTCGACAAAGAGCGGTTTAAATCGTGGGACTGATCGGCTGACGAGCGATTGTAGGACGAACGAATTGGCGAACAGGAAAGCGATCGTTGATCGTCGAGTTGCCAACGAAGGTCGTTTTCGGAGAACGATACCAGGAGCGATGTGCTGTACTTGTTGCTTTAGTTGGCATGCTACACGAGTGGTTTGTATCCAGAATATGAAGATTGCATTCGTAGGAATCCGGACCAGAAACGCTGCAGACGTAGGACGGAACCACGTTGAGCCGATGAACCAGAAGCGACCATAACGACCAATTTCGAGACCAAGCGTATGCCAAACATTCAAAATGAAAATATCGACTGAGTACGTTGACAAAAGCGAAGGTGATCAGGCCAGCTTTCGCCAAAGTTGACTGAAGTCGACGGAACCAAACGGAAATGGTCGAAGGCGTGGGCTCAGGAAACAAAGAGAAAATCAAAAAAGAGAAGAGTGTAGCATGCGTCTAGTATAGGAATAGTTCTACACCGTATCGGTTGTTGACGGTGCGACTATTCGCTGAAGCGTACGGGCAACCGTACTCGGCGACCGGAACGTGAGACGGTAGTCGCGTTCGCGTCGTATGAGCCTCCGATCTCATCCGAAGTCAAGGGCGGCGTGGTCTGCTGATCTGGACGTGAAACTGTCGCTCGTGCCAAATGACTCCATAAAATCCCCCGTGAAGCCAAATATCAGAAGGCAATTAATGGACCAAATTGAGGTTTATTAGCTGGCGATCTCGTGGCATCGAAAGGATATCAAGATCGTGCCAGGATACAAGCTTGGTTACAGAACGTAACCGAATTCGCGCGAAGTTATAATCAAAGTGTGTGAATAAGAATGGAAGCTGTCATTAGCACAGTCAAACAAAAGCACATTAAAACAAGCACTGGTACAGTTGGTTATAATATCAATTGTTTTTATTAAACCAGTCGTGTTCTCGTGATAAGTGTGAGTCACTACAAAGTTTCACAAATTACGATCTATTAACCTTAAATTGGGGTCCCATTTTTCTCGTTGAGTAGTCAATGACTGAAACGCCTTTCCCGAATAAGTGGTATCAGCGTCATCAGTCAATATCTTCAAGGAAAAGCTGGACCTTCACCAGAGGGCAATCTGTCAAGATTAACACAGGATCACCAACCTACTATCCTCATTAATGAAAACCGAAGACTTTGCAAACAAACTCGTTTGTCCTATGATATCAGCCTAATGAATGAATAAATGTCAGAGAAACTAGTTGTTAATAGGAATATCTATTGCAAGAATTTCAACATATTAATAGAATTAGTATCCTAATAACTGTACACCAATTGATTCATTGAAAAATTAAGTGAACGATTTGTCGTCGAAGCTACAGTAACCTAATGGACAACGGTGATATCAATCTTGAAGAAGGGGAGCTTGATGTAGATCTCAGCGATGAGGAGGGATGCAAGTTCAAAAATGAAAAGTGAGCACTAATATCGTTGACCTAAAATTTCTTCAGTGATTTAAAAAAGGAAGAAAAGCTAGATAAAGAAACTGAAGTAAAAAAGCACAAGAAGAAAGAAAAAAAGGCTAAGAAGGAAAAGAAGCATAAGAAGAAAAAGAAGAAACATAGGCATGACAACAAGGAGAAATGGTACTCTTCGTTAATCTTACTTACCTTTAGTTCTCTTAATAATGGTGATGTTGTTCAGCCACCTGTGAATGAAGCAAAGGTAGAAGATCTCGGAAGTCCCAAAAAAGAAATTGATGACGCCCCATATGTTCCAAAACGCGTCCCTATCTCTCTGGAGGAGCTGATTTTAAAAAGGAAGGCGGAAGAGGCAGAATTAATCAAACCGAAATTTATATCTAAGGAGGAGCGTATTCAGCAAGCCATCCAAAGAAGACAAGCTGAAGTTCAAGCTCAACGTGAAAAACAGATGGAGGCCTTCAAAAAACAGACCGAATATCTTGAAGGGGCTAAAGGTTACACGCTTATCTACTCTTAAGCTTTTAGATCTGGAACGAAAGAGACGCGCAGAAGATTTTCAAGAAAGAATGAGGCAGCATAGAAACTTTAGAAATACTGGCAAACGAGCAGCTCAAGAAGAAGGTTCAGGTGATAAAGTAAACATTTCACAAGAAGAACAAGCTATCAAAGAGCGCTACTTGGGTCAGAAGCGTCTGACTAAGCGTCGACCGAGGCGACTTAATGAGAGGAAATTTGTATTTGACTGGGATGTCGCCGATGATACTAGCCAGGATTACAACCCACTTTACAAAGAAAAGCATCAAATCCAGTTTTTTGGCCGTGGACATATTGGTGGTATTGATATTAAGGTAATGAAGTGTTTACATTCCTCACAATTATCAGCAACAAAAAAAAGAAATTGGACGCTTTTACTCAAAGCTGTTAGAAAGCCGCCGTTCTGACACCCAGAAAGTTCAAGAAAAGTAACTGATCATTTGGTTTTTCTTATGATTTAGGAAACGTCTAAGTGGTGTCGCAAAGCGTGAAGCTAAGCAGAAATGGGATGACAGGCACTGGACAGAAAAAGCCCTTGATCAGATGACTGAACGTGACTGGCGAATCTTTCGCGAAGATTTTAATATATCTACCAAGGGAGGTAACATTCCAAACCCCCTCAGGTCTTGGGCGGAAATGAATGTTGCTGATGAACTTAAGGATGTAATTAAAAAGGTATAGATGTTAGCCCAGTTTCATATTCCCTTTAGGTTGGTTATCCTGAACCAACACCAATTCAACGCCAAGCAATACCAATAGGTCTGCAAAACCGTGATATTATTGGTGTTGCAGAAACAGGTTCAGGGAAAACAGCAGCTTTCCTTATACCCTTGTTGAATTGGATTCAGCGACTTCCAAAACTGGAGAGACTTGAGGTAACTTAAGCTCCTTTTTAATCAGTTATTAAAAGGACACAGAGCAAGGACCATATGCTATTATTATGGCTCCTACTAGAGAGTTGGCACAGCAAATTGAGGAAGAAACAGTGAAATTCGGTCGACCACTGGGGATCAAAACTGTTTCGTTAATTGGTGGCCTCTCGCGTGAAGATCAAGCATTAAAGCTCCGAATGGGCGCCGAAATAGTTATTGGTACTCCTGGCCGTTTAAATGATGTCCTAGAAAACCGGTATATGGTACTCAACCAATGTACTTACATCGTTTTGGATGAAGTAAGTACTGATATTTTAGAATATTCAAAGTCGGACAATTTTTGGCTTTTTTGTTATTCAATAATTGTCTAGTAGATGTTAAGCTAACTTACGCCTGTCACCCCTCATGAAGGAGCGTAAGCCGCCTACCAGCACTCTCCATCCAACCCTGTCCTGGGAAATCCTTTCCAGTTGCTATTTATTCTTTTCATGTCTGCTTCTGATTTTTGACGTAGTGTGCTCATTGACCTTCTTCCTTTCCCTTCATAATTCCAAGTTAGCATTTGCTTCACGGTGCAGTTTGATGATTTCTTCAATGTGTGCCCTATCCACTTCAAACGCCTTTTTCTAATTTCCTCCTCAGCTGGAAGCTGGTTTGTTCTCTCCCATAGCGGGCTGTTGCTGACGTTATCAGTATCTTGCGTAAACAATTGTTGATAAATACTTCTACCATTTTGATGATGGTTATGGTAATGATTTGGTCTGTGCACGACCGATTCTTACGGAATCCAGCTTGTTGATCTCGAATTTGGACGTCTACCAAAATCTTTCATGTGGTTCAGCAACGCATTGTTGAAAACCTTTCCTGACGCTCAAGGTTTCAATGCAGACCTATTCTTTATGATGGTGCTTGTTGTGGCCCAGAACCCCCTGACACGTTAAAGTCAATGCTTCTTTGATCCCTTTCCTGTTGTTTTCCATAGTAGTTTCGCATTCGTCGAGTAATTCTTCCAAGGCTCGAAAATTATTGCTGAGAGTTGTCTTGAATTCATCGAGCTTGTATTTCGAAGTAAGGCTGTATGAAGCCTTTTTAATGCTGCTTATCAAGTTGTCCGGTGCTTCTTTAGCTTCAGTTCCATCTTAGCCACAGCCAGGTGGTGATCTGAAGCTATGTCAACTTCTCTCTTGGTTCTCACGTCTTCCATTGTCTTTCTGAAGTGTTTTAGTCACCCCGATCTAGTTCTTTGTAGTGTGGTCGAGTGAGATCCATGTAGCTTTGTGCATGTGTCTGTGTGGGAATGTTGTACTACCTATAACCAATTTGGTGGATGCACATAGATTTGCAAGTTTCTCATCATTCTCGTCCGTTTCTTCTAGTTAGTCCATGTCGTCTCATGATATCTTCATACCTGGTGTCGTCCATTCCGACTAACATTTAAGTCTCTCATCAGAATGTTCAGGTTCTTTGCTGTGTGCTTCTTCTCGATCGATTGCAGCCTTCTGTAGAACCGATCTTTATAATCGTCATTGCTATAATTGGTGTGGTCATAATGTTCAGTAATATTCGTCGTAATTTCCTCCTTTGTTTTGAATGATGCTGTATGATCCTGTATTCATGAGATTCTCATTTTATGAGTGCTCTTCGTGCTTCTTTGGACAGCATCAGTGCAACTGTTTGTGTGTGCGAAACATGTTTTTCTTTGTGACCAGAGTACAATAGCATCTCTCGCGTACCCAACGTTTGCTGTCCAGCTTGGGTTTAATGGGTTTCATTGATTCCGATCACCGCTCAGCTGTATCTCCTCATTCCCACAGCTATTTGATTGGTTCTTCCTGTCTCGCATATTAGTCAGACATTCCATTTGCCTACGTTAATTGTTGTTCTGGTTGTAAGAAAAGGCATTGGCCTCGTGACCTCCGAAGGATCTGGGTTTTCAACAAGAGGTGTCAAAATTCTTACTTAAACTTGGATGGCCGAGCATAAATGGTTTAAATTGTTTATACTGGTTAGCGTTTTTGGCAAGATTGTTTTCTATGAGATAGAGTTGCTGACCCCATGCACAACCCTTCTCTTTTACCAGGTCTAGTGACCGGTAGTCACTCTAGAGGACGTACAGTCCTAGTTAGAAATAAAGTGGTATTTTGTGATGATAAATTGCATGTTTAATTTGTAATCCTTCATCGGTTTCATTACCTCGGATTTTGTTTTTCGTTTACAGAGTTATCAATTGTTAACTTTATGCTTGTTAGCGTTTTAGCAATTTGGATGTTATTATGTGGAAACCTATTTGTAATCTGTTAAGTCGTTTTCAACACAATTGCGTATAAGATGGTAAAACAGTAATAATAAATGAAATGCACAGGTACTAGCTACACAGTTTTCAGGTTTTATCTAACAGAAAACCTTCGCTTTTGTTTTAAGGATTTCAGAACAATGAGGTTGATTTCGACCCGACCGTTGTTGCTACCTTGACGTGGTGTTCGGGCTTGCCTATCGTGATGAAGCAACCGAGCTATACCGACAGGAACAACTGTTCCTCAAGGTCCTACCACGTCAGAAAGGTCGGTTGAAGAGCGGTAAGACTAAAAGCAACAAACCAAAACGTGGCATCAGTGCCTGAAGCCACTAACCTCTAGTCTGAGCCATGTTGGTAGATGCAGACTACTTGGTTGGGGTCCGCGTGACTTTCGTAACCGATGGTTGGAGACTCTTGGTGACATGGCTCAGAATCTATCACAATGGTATGGGTATATACACATTCTGTCTTCCCTTAAACTAAGAGTTTAAAATCGCCTCATATCTTTCTTTCTACGTACTAATTCTATATTCCGGTACTGTATCCTTATATGCAATCTTTCTCCTATATATTAATACCATTGACCTAATCACTCCTATGAATCCGGTGTTCATCTTGCTGTGTAAATGAGGTATGTCAACCTGGATCGATGCACATATGTGCCTGGTCCTACGTTGTAGCTGACTGACTGACTGGTTGATTTTGACAAATTATATAGAAAAAACCCGGTAATTTCATCTAAACTGTCGGGGTCAATTCAGTGTTCTTAATCGTTGGTGTTAGATTAAATCATTTTTATAAATCGACATACCATGATATGTGCCTTCGCCATCTGATTGTAAATGTTTATGAATTATATTTATTTCTGACGTTTTTAAATTAACAGGCTGATAAAATGATTGATATGGGTTTCGAACCTGAAGTCAACAATATTCTCACATATTTACCAGTTACAAATGAAAAACCTGATAATGAAGATGCTGAGGATGATTCGAAGCTATTAAGCAATTTCGCAACAAAACATAAGTATCGTCAGACTGTCATGTTCACAGCCACCATGCCTCCAGCAGTTGAACGTCTTGCTCGTTCCTATTTAAGGCGACCTGCAATGGTGTATATTGGAAGTGCTGGTAAACCCACAGAACGAGTGGAACAGATTGTTTATATGGTTTCAGAACAAGAGAAGAGGTAGTTTTTTCATACTGATAATAATCAAATGTTTATAGCTAAGTCGATTTCCTTTTGGTTATAAATTTAAATATTCCAAGACTAACAAATTTGACACCACTTTTACTAACATGCTCCAGATTATCATTGTTTGTTTTCTACATTGGTTTTCGGTAGTGTCGCGAATCATTAGTACAATTGATAAATTTCAGCTGGCACTTATGAAACCGTATTTATTGAAAATTTAATCTTGATATGTTGTGATCGCTCTGATTTATAAGAAACGATTTTAGTCATGTCGATAATTCTTGTGGAGAACTGACTGCTAGGCCAAAGACAGGTTCAATCTTTTTATTGAATGCAATAAAACTAGTAACTTTATCAATAACAAGTATATTGATCTTCACGACTTCATTGTCTCCATATCTGTAATGAGTGCTGAAGACGGGAACTTTCATTTTAACATCTATTGTCCTGTTGACATAATTTGTTAATGAGCTCGATACCTGTATTTCGATTTACTGAAAGAAAAGTGGTGTCCTAATCGATTAATGGTACATATGTATTTTCTGTCTCCATTAAAATACTAAATGTTGCTTCAGGATTGTTCTGCGTGAACTTATGGTAGGGAATGGAGTTGTTGAGCGTATCGACCACTTCGTGAAGATTTTATCACCTCTTGTGCGTTTGTATCTGAAGAAACAATACTTAGACAAAAGTATACCAATATATGAAGTTGTGAAAAGTATCATATATTATGAACTTACCTTTTGATGTTTATGAACTGGGAGAAATAGCTTCTGAACATTTCTTATTAACGGATTCCCGATGTCTTTATGCGTTTCCTTAGATCTACTTTTTCATTCAAAAGTGAGTTATTACAAATCATTTTTTTAGAAACTAAGTATCTTAAACTACAAGTTCTTGTAGGCCTAAGACTTGAGTTTTTTAGTTTGTTACTAAATCTAGAGCTTTATCCACGAACGCTTTAACATCAAACTGACTTAAATTTCATTTTTGCAGGAGAAAACTATTAGAAATACTTGCTGCAGGACTTGATCCACCTGTAATCATTTTTGTCAATCAGAAAAAAGGCGCAGATGTACTTGCTAAAGGACTAGAAAAACTTGGATACAGTGCTGTTGTTCTACATGGTGGCAAAGGACAGGAACAAAGAGAATATGCCTTGGCAAGTTTAAAGTCTGGTCAAAAGGAGATCTTAGTTGCAACTGATGTTGCCGGTCGTGGTATTGATATCAAAGATGTGTCAATGGTTATAAACTATGACATGTCTAAAACTATTGATGGTAAGCTAATAAGTCTTTCGCTATTTACTTAGATTATTTATTTGTTTAAACATAGACATTCATACAAAGAAACATCAAATATACATGTGGCACAAAAGTCATCTAGTTTGTGTGAGGGCTGGTTTTCTCAAGGGGCTATTCTTCGAGCCTTTGACCTAAAGGTCTAATGTACAAGGCAGTGGAGCGACGTAAGGAAATGCAGTCTCATGGTAGTCGTTGACCAACAATAGGTTCATACGCTTTTTGTTTCCTCAGGATCCTGGAGCGCACATGCACCATTGGTTTGAAATCAGGGCTTTCCAGCCCCCTATATGGGTCTACCGTATCCACCAACCTGGCTAAAGCACCAGAGGTCCGCTTTTCGTCCTCTAACTTTTGTAGAAATACCCCTTGGCTCGAAAAGGCAGTCTGTAGGACTTCCCTGGCAGTGGCCGTATACGCGTGGCCATGTGAGAGCATTTTAAGAGGGAGAGCAGTCTCTCTACTCGCGGTCGTACCAGGGCATCTGGTGGCATTTACTTAGATACATTCTGCACTCGATATAATAGTGGTATTTAAATTAATTAGTTGTCTTAACTTTCAATTGTAAAGTCATATAACTCTTCAAAGTCTGAGATACATTTTATCATTCTTTTGGTGTCAAGACATTGTATAGAAACTCTTCTGCATATTGTATCAAAGGGTGTTATGGTACAAGCATAAGCTAAACATTCTTTAGAGATATCACATCTTCAGTTATTTTGAATGGTGGGCTTTAATCCCAACACAACTGTCATTCAGGGATCCTTATAATCTGAGTGAAGTAACTTTGATATTTATGATGACACCATAGCTTTGTCTTCTTAGAAAAACTTCGTGTTACATGTCTCAATGACCTGGTTAGTTTCGTCCCTCTTCTTTCTCGAATTATTGTTGACAGTATGTATGACCTCAAATTTACTGTCCAATACACTTATGTGACTTTTGGACACATATTTCTTGCTCATTCATGTAAATATATCTAAGCCCCTAATTGAAATATTTGTGCGATTATTTACATGAACTCAGCATAACTTTATTTAATGATTAGTATGTTTTACATTGCGTGTTTCTCTGCTTAGAATATGTACATCGTATTGGGCGTACTGGACGTGCTGGTAAATCTGGTATTGCAATCTCACTACTTACGAAAGAAGATGCTCCTGTATTTTATGATCTAAAACAATTATTAATTCAATCTCCTGTGTCAACGTGTCCTCACGAACTTGCCAATCATCCGGATGCTCAAACAAAGCCAGGTATACTGGCTGCGAAAAAACGACGCGCAGAAGAGACAGTTTACATTACATAAAGAAATAGACTTGATTTTCATTGTCTGCAATTTTTATGCTGGTTTGTAAATACAGAGTATAGTCCAACAAGTATTCATTCCATCCTATCGTTTTTGTACGTTAGTTCCACTTTTTCAGTGTGTTTGTACATAAAAGCATAAATTTTTGATAAAAAGCTGACACTTACTGTTTTTTGTCAACTAGTGGTGGGTCCCGTCATATTTTCTCGCTGCAGAAAGGTATATTTAAAGTTAACGCTTAATGTAGTTTTCAGAACGTACTAATAATAATCAAAATATCGACTCACAATTTGTTTAACGTCAGTGGTATTACATACCCATAAAAGGGAAATAGACAATCGAACGATATACATTGAATCATTATCCACAACCTAACTGCAAACGATTAGCTAGTGATTCTGTTCGTGTCCGGCGTTTCGGTGGTGTCTTTTTTGAATAAAGAATAACTATTTGTCTTACAAAGTTGTCTTTCTCTTCACTTTTTAATCGTCAGCACACTTCCTTATAAAGAGTACAATATTTTTTGGAAGCTTGTAACTAGTTTCATATAGTCTGTTCTTAAACCCTGTGATAGCAAAACTAACCATTCTAATATACTTGAAGAATATAACAATTACAGTCTGATACACATAGTTCCCTTTATTATCTTAAATAGAGCAAGAACAAAGATTGGTGCAGAATAATATGAATTCATTTTATTTCGTTAGGTTCTCATCAGCTGCTTACATCCTAAATTATTTGAAATTCAAATTATTACAGATATTGACATATTTATACATAAGAGTGTGAATAAGGATCAATACATGTGTATGATGATGTAGAAAATATTCAGATAGAGTTAATGAGCTCATAAAATGTTTAATTCGAATAAATAAATAAAGTTAGAGAGGGAAAGTTCTGGAACATTGAAATAGTGATTAGAACTCATGAAAATAGATTAATAGTAATAAAGAAAATATGAATTAAAACCAATCATTTATGTATGATGTAATTTAAACTTCAGAAAGAGTTGGAAGATGGGGAATGACGTAATAAATAAATAAATAGGAGTAAATGAATAGAAAGGGTGGGGATTATTGTTACCAGGGTAAAGAAAGATTTATTACTGTCTCTTTTTGTATGCATAGATCTGGTTTTAAACGTTTGATTGCTATCGCTTCAGCGAATTTCAAAAGGTTAGAGTTTGATTGTTTGTTGATCACCTTGAAGGACTTCAGTATATCAACTTCATGTCCTGTATCAAGGAGATGTCTTGCGATAGCACTGCTGAATGCGTTAAATCCATTTAACCGTAAACTTTTCGGAATATGTTCTTTGAATCGGACGTAGGCTCTCCTTTCTGTTCTACCAATGTAACTGCTTTGGCAGGTACATGTAAATTTGTATACACAATTGGTGGTAACATGAAAGGGATACCTGTCGACCTTTGATTGTGTCAAAGAACATGTTGTTTTAGACAGGACAATCAATTTTGCTGCAGGATAAGTTCTCGTCAGTGCAGTTTTTAGTCTCATATTGATTAATCCTGTGATGTCGTCACCTTTGAATTGAAGTTGAATAAAAATAGGCTTTTTATTTGCTGTAATTTCTTTCGGTTTTTTATCTTCACATTTGCCGTATTTTTCAATAAATTTCAGTGGGTATCCATTATTCTTTAAACATTTTTTAACATTCATAACTTCCTCTTCTAGTGTATCGGAAGTACAAATTCTTTCTGTTCTGTGAAACAGTGTTTTGACCAGTGCTTTTTTGTAACTGATTGGACAAAAGCTATTGAAATTAAGATAACTACCATTCCATGTGTCTTTCTTATAAACTGAACGTTGAATCGTACCATCTTTTCTTCTTTTCATCGCGATATCGAGAAAATGGAACTTGTTTTCTTTTTCATGTTCCATAGTGAAATGGATATTCGGATGTGCTTTGTTGAAAAACTCTAGCAGATTTATTGCATGTTGTTTATTATTACATACGATGAAGGTATCATCAACATACCTCGAATAATACGTCATTTCATCAATCGCTCGTTTGAGTTTGGTTTTTTCGAGGTTAGCCATGAAAATATCTGCTAGGACAGGACCTAACGGACTTCCCATCGCTACACCGTCAGTTTGTTTGTATTTGATATCGTTGAACTGGAACTGAACATCTTTTGTACAAATGAGTAATAGTCGTTTGAATTCTGGTACTGGTAGAGGTAGGATGTCAGAATGTTGACAAATTATGTCTATGGTTTCAAGAAGTGGTATTTTTGTAAACAAAGATGTTACATCAAAAGAAACCAGATCTATGCATACAAAAAGAGACAGTAATAAATCTTTCTTTACCCTGGTAACAATAATCCCCACCCTTTCTATTCATTTACTCCTATTTATTTATTTATTACGTCATTCCCCATCTTCCAACTCTTTCTGAAGTTTAAATTACATCATACATAAATGATTGGTTTTAATTCATATTTTCTTTATTACTATTAATCTATTTTCATGAGTTCTAATCACTATTTCAATGTTCCAGAACTTTCCCTCTCTAACTTTATTTATTTATTCGAATTAAACATTTTATGAGCTCATTAACTCTATCTGAATATTTTCTACATCATCATACACATGTATTGATCCTTATTCACACTCTTATGTATAAATATGTCAATATCTGTAATAATTTGAATTTCAAATAATTTAGGATGTAAGCAGCTGATGAGAACCTAACGAAATAAAATGAATTCATATTATTCTGCACCAATCTTTGTTCTTGCTCTATTTAAAATTACAGTCTGAACGTACGGGTCATCGGCGTATTTGTATACCTACTGATCATTTCTTCTATCGTAACATTTCAGTCATAGGGTTGTCATTTTCCGAGATGTCTCGTCAGATGTGTTTCGGAGCATTTAACATCTGTAGTAGGTGAAGAATTCTACATGAGCACTTATTAGAATCATGGTTGTTGAATTTAACTACAAAATCGCAAAGTATGAACACCTGATAATTGCTTTTCCCAAAAAATAAGACAAAATGTATCGATGCTTGTTTACAGTTCCGACTAGTTAGCTAATCGCAATTTATTAAATCTTTGTAGAGGACAATAGCGACACATTAAGGGAAATGTTAAGATTTTAAGTACAACGATGAGCATGAGTATGGAATTAGTCAACACCGTCTGTTAAGCGCGTAATGCTTGACATTTAAAAATGAGGCAGTATTTGATAGAAAAATCGGGAAAATTATATCAACTTTGGTGTTTATAGATTTGAAGTGTTTGTGTCTGATATATGAAGAATTGTATTTACGTCACTGACTGATTTCTGAATCATCATTTACATTCGAGTCAACTAATCTTAAGCCTGATCAGTTTTTTCCAAACAAAGTTTAACAAACCAAAATTTTCACAACTATTAACGAAGAAATATATATTGTCATTATGTAAAGAGATAACACAGGTCTATTCTCTATTATATTTGCCGGAATCCATGGATAGATGTCAACAACTAAGACGAAAACTGTCCAATCAAATCGATTCACAAGACTGGATTTCTTATAATATTATTTATACTACTCAAAGTAAACAAATATACGGCTATATTGGGAACTATATATACTTATCCACAGCCACGTAACAATGATTTTAACATGTAGCTGGATATCTTGCTTGTTTGAGGTCAAGCTTATTAATGGCATGACTGGAAGTCTGCTAAGATGAAAGTATACATTGAACTTCTTGAAGCAGATAAACTAAATAGGAAGTGCCACTACACAAAATATATTGATGATTTCTATTTACTCGTTTTAATTTTAATAATTATGTAGGATTTCATCAAACACATTGATGTGTAGGTGAGAATGATAATGATTGGTTGTCTGCCTAGTCAGACATGCAGATGGTCTGACAGGTGTCAGATGAGTTGTATATTTCCTTATCCTTATTATTATTACGACTCACATACTATTGATTGTTCATTATTGTTGGGTTGTGTCGGATTTTGGTGTGGAAATACATTAACGTTGTGATCAAGCTAATCATGTGTTCTTGATCTGAGTTGTGTTGACGTCCTGTAGAATAGACACTGAGAGGGAATCTAGTGTAGATAGTCGTTTAAGGTAAACTAACGTCCCATACGTGGAAACCCAACCGTTATAACATTAGACGAAGTAAAACCGAGGGTTATAACACATAGTTTATTTTAGATTGCTGTATAATATCATTAAATAATTTATATATACTCAAAAAAGAGGAAAATATTGTAGGCATATAGTATATAATGTGTTATATCGTACCTAAAACAGAAAATATCAATCATTTTCATTAATGTCACGTTAATAAAAATGGGAACAAGAGGCTTTTTCAAATATTATAGATTCAGTTAATTGCATATTTTTCTATTTCTCATTGTACAACTTATCGCTTTATAAATTATGAGAAGATCTGAATCATTCCAATCAGTAGAATATTGGAGATATGATGCTTTGCCACTAGTGTAGGTCACTTCCTCAGTGAATAAATAACTTCAAATTAATACAAATTTAGTTAGCGGAAAAAACAATTATTTAGTACATAGACTTAGGTGTTGTAGTGTGGGCTACTGATGTCAACAGATATAAGTAATATTCATCACCAGTCAAAAGTGTAATGCCTGGCGGCAGAAGGTTGAGGAAATCGAAGAGAAGACAACGAGAGTGATCAGTATGGAGACGAAGGGACAACAAGGTTTGAGATAATTGATGGATATTTTGCAAATGAAGTATTACTGTATGTTTCTCAGATTTTTCTAAACGATCCTGTAATACTGTTATCCAATACATTTGGTTGTAATCACTTGTGTTATCGTTAACTAAATGTGACCACAATAAGGCCTATTTATTTACGTTAAGGGTGATTCTATAAAATGCAAGTCTCTTGTGTTCACATGCATCATATATTTCTTCTTACATAACTAATATTAATAACTAATTTACCAAACTGCTTTTCTAATTGTGTTGCAAGTTTTTTGTAAACTGTTTCAACTTATTTGTCCGATCATAATTTTGAACATAAAAATCACCCAATTTCTCTACCTTAAAAATATTTGGTTTCATTATTAACTCAATTTGTAACACTGCTAACTGGGTTGCTGACATTTGATTGATATGAGATATACAAAAATTTATTATTACTTACTTATGCCTGTCACCCCTCATGAAGGAGCGTAAGCCGCCTACCAGCACTCTCCATCCAACCCTGTCCTGGGAAATCCTTTCCAGTTGCTATTTATTCTTTTCATGTCTGCTTCTGATTTTTGACGTAGTGTGCTCATTGACCTTCTTCCTTTCCCTTCATAATTCCAAGTTAGCACTTGCTTCACGGTGCAGTTTGATGATTTCTTCAATGTGTGCCCTATCCACTTCAAACGCCTTTTTCTAATTTCCTCCTCAGCTGGAAGCTGGTTTGTTCTCTCCCATAGCGGACTGTTGCTGACGTTATCAGTATCTTGCGTAAACAATTGTTGATAAATACTTCTACCATTTTGATGATGGTTATGGTAATGATTTGGTCTGTGCACGACCGATTCTTACGGAATCCAGCTTGTTGATCTCGAATTTGGACGTCTACCAAAATCTTTCATGTGGTTCAGCAACGCATTGTTGAAAACCTTTCCTGACGCTCAAGGTTTCAATGCAGACCTATTCTTTATGATGGTGCTTGTTGTGGCCCAGAACCCCCTGACACGTTAAAGTCAATGCTTCTTTGATCCCTTTCCTGTTGTTTTCCATAGTAGTTTCGCATTCGTCGAGTAATTCTTCCAAGGCTCGAAAATTATTGCTGAGAGTTATCTTGAATTCATCGAGCTTGTATTTCGAAGTAAGGCTGTATGAAGCCTTTTGAATGCTGCTTATCAAGTTGTCCGGTGCTTCTTTAGCTTCAGTTCCATCTTAGCCACAGCCAGGTGGTGATCTGAAGCTATGTCAACTTCTCTCTTGGTTCTCACGTCTTCCATTGTCTTTCTGAAGTGTTTTAGTCACCCCGATCTAGTTCTTTGTAGTGTGGTCGAGTGAGATCCATGTAGCTTTGTGCATGTGTCTGTGTGGGAATGTTGTACTACCTATAACCAATTTGGTGGATGCACATAGATTTGCAAGTTTCTCATCATTCTCGTCCGTTTCTTCTAGTTAGTCCATGTCGTCTCATGATATCTTCATACCTGGTGTCGTCCATTCGAACTTGTGTGTTTGTTAAAAGGGCATCTTCTTCGTGACTTTCGAAGATTCAAGGCTTTCATCACTAAGCGTTTTAATTCCTCCTTTAACTCCTAGGTCATAGTTTAGATGTTTTAACTTGGCGACGGACGTGTCAAGTATAGCACATTCAGTCATGATGGAAGAAAAATCGCTACTTAGCAAGTGATGTCTCCAATTATCTCAAAATATCCACAAGTGAGTGATTAGATAAACGAAAACATAACCTTAATTACTGGCTACGATACACTCAGATGAATAGCAATGTGAAATTTACCCCCTGCCATATATAGACAGTAAACGAATAAATCTCCAGATTCTGTAATTTTCTATATTCTGTCCATAATATTAGTACAAATAGTTGATTGCTACAATAAAGCAGAAAATGAATGAACAAAGGTTATCATAGATGAGAATCTATAGTAACATTTATTAATATCTCAGAAAATCACATTTAAAGTTCACACATTAAGTGTACCTACTTAGTTTAGTACAGAGAAATTTGTCCGAAAATCAATATCAAGTCAGTGATTTATTCAACAAAATTTCCTTTTATTTGTTTCTTCCAAATTTTTTTTACGATGATGATAGTATTCATGACATATGACAGTAGCAACACTGTAACAGGGACCCGATAATTAAAAAAAACTAGTCGACAAAAATAAATTCAATTATTTAGGAGTTAATTAGTTAATTTCAAAATCTCGGAGTTCTGAGTGTGATCTGATCTGTAAGAATATTTGCTTTGTAAGAATACACTTGTTGTTAAGTCAATAAGATTAACGTAATATTCCAAAACTGTAAAATTATTCGGATTGACAAGTTATTTGGTATAATGAGTGCAGTTGAATAATTTAATTTTTATGGTAGATATCCAAGACTTTCTATATAGGATTGTTCGTTCAGTTTGTTATAATAACTATTTAGACATAGTGAAGAGACTTTACAAAAGTAATGAAGTAAACTCCCATCTTAATCAGTTGGATATTTCATATCCAAGGCCTAACAATAATCTGTGCTAATTTATTGAATAAGAACAGTCATTAAAATAGGCAGTAACTAATCTGAATCGATAATAATACATGTATCAAAGTATATATTACTTGAATATCCAATCAACTGTTGTTCGCTTACTTGTGAATATGTCAATTTCAATATTAATAAATACTGTAACTGAACTTTCTCGTCACTGATTTGCTAAAACCGAGTTGGTTATGTTTGTTTATATGTTATGTAAATAAAGCTGTTCAGTAACTAATTAAGTTCATTTTTATTAAGTGAACTTTGGACTTATGCCGATTGTTTGTCCAATCTTACATTTCTTAACTTTATTGTTAACAGTGATCATAGTTTTCAGTTGTGAACATCAGTCACCTATCATAATAGTGAACACATGGCCATTTTCAAATGCAACCGATGCTGGATGGAATATCCTTAGTCCATCGAATTCCAAAATATGTGGTTCATCAATAGATGCTGTCGTTGCTGCATGTACAAATGCAGAAGATGATCCAGATATTGAAAGTGTCGGTTATGGTTGTTCACCTGATGAAAACGGACACACTTTATTAGACGCAATGGTGATGGATGGTAAAACAATGGAGGTAGGCATTTACTAAAGTTTTATATATGACAATCAAGTATATTTATTTTGCGAAGTAGACTTTAAAAATGAGCCATCAAAAGACGATTATTCAAACCAACTATTATTAAAATGAACTAACCTTTAAAATGCACAATAGACTTATATGTATTCGTCAGCATAATTTTTTGACTAAATTCAGTCAGTCAGCTACAGCGTAGGGCCAGAAACATATATGCATCGATCCGAGTTGTCACACCTCATTGTCATCGAAGATGAACACCAAATTGCAGTCCTAAATAACAATGGGAAGATAAAAGTAAACAACACCAAGTGAATATAACTTCATCCCATCACTCAAGCGGATGGCTATCAGGACTCAGTAGCTAAGTGGATAACGCTGTGGCGTTTGAAGCTAAAGGTGCTGGGTTAGAGTCCCAAAGTGAATATCAACTCTATGATGCAGGTATATCCAGCTGACGAGTTCCAGGTAGGACGAAACATGGACTTCACTGCTATATATATATATATATATATATATATATATATATATATATATATATATATATATATATATATATATATATATATATATATATATATTAAAAGAAGCATTTACCCAAAATCATAGGAAATTACTAGTTGATGTGGAATTCAGTAAACTTGGTTAGCACATAGAATTACAAAATAACATAGTGAGTCGGACTTGGACAAGTGTATGTAAATATATTGATACGAAGAAGACAAACTAATATTCTTTCATCTATTATGTAATCATGTGAATCTGAATAGGAATGAATAATACACAAAATTTGTCTGATCTACTAAATATAAGTATGTTTATACTGTACTATTTCGTTATCTTGGTTCAGTCTATCAAAAGATTTTTTTACAGTTTTTGAATGTATTGTTTCGTGGCGAGAACGCGCTTACTTTGTTTCAGTTACAGAAAATTCTCGGGTTATATCAATGATATTTTAGAAATTATCTGAGATTTTTCTTTGAAAACTACATTTTTGTAGGCTGGTGCGGTAGCATCAATGCCTGATATTCGACAAGCATCCCAAGTGGCACGTGATGTCTTATTAAGCACCAAACATACATTACTTGTTGGGCCACTTGCAGCAGAATTCGCAAAGTCAAGAGGATATAAACCAACTTCGTTAGATACGCCTAAATCACATGATTTATGGCTAAAATGGAAAAACAATAATTGCCAACCAAATTTTCGTAAATCATCAAATTGGATTCCAGATCCTAAAATATCATGTGGACCATATAGACGGAACGTTTCTGGTAAGTACTAATACAAATGATTAAGATTTTGAAATAAACTGACAATAATTATTTCCGTACTAAATCAAATGTCTATCTATAAACTAGCTGTGATTTTCTCGCCAAATTGTACATACAGTTGTGTCATTTTGGCTGGTCTATACTATAACGTCGGAATGGAGCGACTTAAGGTGACTATGGGACCTTAACGCTCTTTGATATTTAACATAGGTACATTGTTTCAATGAGATATCTATCAATAAAAATATGCTGAAACAGATACGTAATGTTTTCGTTTAGTTTATTAGTTTCATCTAGATTCATATCTCGTTTTTCTAATTCCATACTTAGGTTTTGAAGTTAATGGTTCCGTCACCTTTAATAAAAAGATGTTGGTAGTGTATAATTTATATACTTGGTAAACACATCTGCAATACTAAATTTTTTCAAGTAATATAAGCATCAATTACGATTTTAAATATTCTCTGTACTAATATTATATATACGGATTACTATTCAGTATTCCGTCTAATAAACTGTCTGACTGATTGTATGGTTTGCAATATAAAGGTTTATTTTGCTTTGTTCCTAACTTGTTGAGGTGAAGTTAGTTATCATTAATAATGTTGACCATGATTAAGATCAAATACAATCATTATTAGATATTAAAACTTTCTTGTCAATATTTACAGTATTTCACAGGATTTTATACGTAAAAGACATAGTCCCTCACCAATATTTTCATTAACTATTTTTGGTAACACTAAACTAGGGAATGATATCAGAGCATAAAAATTACTAGCATCATAAAGGCGAAGTGATTACTTCAGAAAATTCTACTACTCTCAGTGATGCTATTACCAAACATCTCTTTGACACGGGAAATCAAGTTGTCACATTAAAATCTTTCAAGATAATCCATTGACATTTAAACTCTAATCTTTTTAAATCTACTGAAGCCATAACAATCCAATGTCTCAGACCGTATTTCTATTTTTCAGAAAGAAATTGAAGAAATATTCTTATCATTACAAAATTACTGTCATTTTATTACGTCATTGTTACAGCTTTTTTCGATTTTGATTTTACCATTTCCAATTTTTTTTTTGAAATTCATAACTTTATTTTTTAATTGACTGATCTTAACTCGTTATCCTTAATCACTATTAACTCGTATTCAGTTGTTCTATTACATAATCAACTGATTTCTTTTACCCTATGAACTTTACTTACTATTTGAATGTTTTGGAATATTCTCTCTCACGTTATATTAATTGGCACGACTTTATTCTTTTCAATTATATAAACTTTATTCCGATCGTCATTCCAACATGACGATATATATTTAGATTCAAAATGCTGTTCTGGCATAAGTGTGTTAACTTTTATGATAATTGTAAAATAATACAGGCTGTAAGTAAATGATGTGGACCTAACGAAATAAAATGAACTCATGTTATTCTGTTCAAAGGTCTGTTTTTGCTCTCTTTAAAATTATGTAATAAGATTTTTGCAGGTTGAATATCTAAAGATTGAGATTTTGCAGAGAAAGTTATGGAAACCTGTATATTATTTAAATACTAACTAGGTATTCTTTATTATAGACAATTTACGGTAAGAAATGATTTTACTCAGCATAATAATACTTTAAATAAAATTATTTTTGAATAGAATAAAATTAGGTTGATTGAAATTGTACACATTATTCACTGTAAACTGATTCAACTAGAACGTTATATATTTAGTGAAAAAGTTGGTTATTGCGACTCAAATTTCAAGTATGCATCTGTGCAGTGGGTTTTAAGCTGAACAATTTATTTAGGGACTACTCATTATACAAGAGTCGGAACTAAAGCAGTTGAAGGAAAGGCTCAAATCTCTGAACCATTTGTTCAAGGCTGAATGATCTATTATGTTACCTATTGATCTACATAGGAAAAAGTAAAAACAGTACTATCTAACGACTAAATCAATCTAGATTTAAATCCATCATTCAAAATAAGTTATATAAAAACGTCCGAACGTAGACTATTTACTATCAGACAAATAGGATTACGATAACAATACAGGCAAAGTTGATAATGAATAGAGTTGTTATTAAATAATAATTTTCCAATAACATTATTTCTCTAACAATTTAGATGTTAATTTGCTTGAATCGAGTGATCAACGTGTCAACAAATTAGATATCAATAATCATGATACAATTGGTGTGATTGCTTTGGATGCTTATGGTTCAATGGCTGTCGGTACATCAACCAGTGGGTCAACATATAAAATTCCTGGACGTGTTGGAGATTCACCTATTCCTGGAGCTGGTGGTTACGTCGTGAATAATGTATCCATAAAGTTTTATTTTCATTAAACCTTTTTAATGGATTGACTTGTATCTCTGATAAAATCAATAATTTTGGTTTATGAAAGATTAACTCTATTAACATAGTTTAGGTCACTGAATATTAGGTGTTTAAACTTCGGTGTTTTATTCAGAACTTATCTACTTTATAATGGTAGAATGTCCATTTCTTTGAGGATGAAAATCACCACAAAAAACAACATGTTGGTATAAGCTTTTATGTCACTGTAAACAGTCAATATAACAATCTTAGAGTTTGAGCGTAATTTTTCGCTTGATGATCGCTAATATCTAATATACTCTTTTTTTGTTATTAACGAATATTTAGTGTACCATGATTTTCTATAGACTCCAATATTTGCGGAAACACTTTGAAACGTAACGGCGTACTTGATGAAAGCCAATTAATCTTTAAGCTTTAATCAACATCTGGCCCCATCCTAAAGTTTATGTTTGTGAACGAAATAACTCTTCCTTACAAATAGATTTCAAACAGTTTCGTTAGGTATCTGAGGATGAAATAACCAGCACTATTCAATCGAAGTCTAGCTAACATAAGTTTGTTACTTCAACTGTGAAAATATCTAAATCCATTAAAAATTATTTCAACTAATCAACGTCAAATTGAGAGAACACTCGCTTAGTTAACTTATGAATAAAGCCTTAGTTAATGGAATTTAACATTATCATTACAAATTTTAATGTATAAAAAGTCATAATAAAAATGAGACTTTTAGTTTATCAACAAAGAATTACAAATACAAAATTGGTTGTAATATCTAGTATCTTATTTACAAGACGTGTTACAGCTGTCATTAATTGTTAGTTTGTTTGAAGCCTAATAACCTCAAAATTCGATAAACTTTTTATCCATTATATATAATAATTGTATTGTATTTTGAATTTGTTAAGATTGGTGGTGCTGTTGCTACTGGTGATGGAGATCTTATGATGCGCTACCTATTGAGTTTTCAAGTCGTTGACTACCTTCGTCAAGGAATTGGTCCAAATGAAGCTTGTAAAAGAGCTTTGCAAAGCGTGAGATCGGTATGGTACTTATTTACTTTAATATGAAGCTTCTACTAAAATTTAATGTGATCAGTCATTTCTGTATAAAATCCCTTTTCAAACGTATGCAATAGTCTTAAGAATTTGCAGGCTTTAATCAATTAAGTCACTATATGACGTGGTTATACTGACGTTTCAACATAAATGATCTTGGTGATCGTACGTGTCTTAGATTGTAATTTTCAGTCAAGTAATCATTATTTTCATTGTGACTCGGTAATTTCAAAGAAAATTGGCATTTTATGTAACATAACTTAGAATCGACTGTGATATTTGCCTTAATCCTGCGATTCAATATTATTTGGTACTTTTTATTCCTCAAAATCGTCCCTTCTTTCCGAATTTTATTTTCCAAAGCTGTCTTTTTGACTTATTACTTGGGCTGTTTTGCTGATTTTTTGTTATACTGATGTCTTACAACAATCTGCGTGAACCCAAACTGATCCCAAGCCCTATGTTGATTTTGACTAATTGATTTGTGGTTTCCGATAACTAAATCTCAACGGCCCGATTTTAGTACCTTGCGATTCCCTAAAAGACTAGATGGAAATAACGCAAAGATTTATGAATTTGAATCATAACTATGTAAGTTCGACCATGTACTTTCCCAAATTTACATTGCTCCAGGCAGTAACACAAGTAAGAGTAGTTGGAGAAGCGATATGTGTGGTATATATCTTACTTTTGCCTGCAGTTCCAAGAACATAACCTTATCGAATGATTCGATCAACTGCCTTGAAAATCGGCGCACATCTCTATCATCTTCCACTTCACATGAATGGCATGCTTGAACTTTTTGGATCAAGCAACTTACATATACATGGCTTACACCTTCAACGATTGCTTTGCAGAAGTGCACTATGACCGAAATAAATATCGAGTGATGTGCTCATATTTCTATTTGAACTCAAATATTTTTCCAGGACCATATTCAGCATTATCTGAAGAAAAGCTGGAGCTTTTTGTATTCATATAGGGATTGTATCAGAGATCAAGTCCTTGGAAATAATGGATATCTCCAAATAGGGAAAATCAATTAATATGGTAAACCACATCATTCTCTATTCCTAAATTGGGTTAGTTCGAGACCATCCTTACAAATTTGATAAGTACAAATAAAGGGCAATCAGTTTACTACCAAATGCCCTGGTACGGCCGAGAGTGGGGAGAGCCCGCTCTCCCTCTCGAAATACTCTCACACGGCCACGCGTATATAGCCTCTGCCAGGGAAGTCCTACTCACTGCCTTCTCGTGGCGGGGGTGTTGTTTACGAAAATGAGAGGACAAAAAGCGAATGTCCGGTGCTTTAACCGGATTCCAAACCAATGATGCACATGGGCTCCAGTATCCTGCGGGAACAAATGGCGAATGAACCAATTGTTGGTCACCGGCTTCCATGGGACTGCATCTCCTTACGATGCTCCACTGCCTTGTGGATCAGACCTTCAGGTCGAAGGCTCGGGGTGTGGCCCCCTAAGAAAACCACCTGCTTCGGTTTGGGCACCCGGGCAGTATCACATCCCCCACACATATCGAATGAGATTTGTGTGGCGCATATGTATTTGGTGCCTCTTTGTACCTTTTTGTTTACTATCAATGAATCTCTTCAATAAAGTTGAATTGGAATAATGAGATTGAAAATCTATGTACCATTTAGTGTTATTACCTCGGATAATGATTCCTAATAGATATGAACAGCACAACGTAACTATGATGATTAGGAGTATTTGAATTATAGTATGAATTAAGAATCCCAGAAATAACGTAATCGGATCAAGAAGTACTAGATAAGCACAAACGAATGTGCTGTATTTAGAATTCAAAATCAAGCATTATTATTGGTTCATTCAAACACCACAGTAACGTCGAATAAATAGTCATTGGCAACAATATGCTTTTTCAGGGTACAAGTTAAACTGAACAATGCCGTAGGACCTTTCAACCTACAGAATTAAAGTTTATTTTCCTGCCCAGTAAAACAATCAGTATGAGTCACTGACAAGCATGTCCGTGTAACGTAACATAAAGATGTAAAAATGTTTGATCAGTATGCTTTTTTTAAAATCAGAATTTAGTCCAGCGTTTTTACGTCAATGGATCGCCTAACTTGAAGCAAAAATCGTAAATTTGGGGGTGCTGATTAACATCGAGAACCAGAACGTAACACACTGATTACTAGCTAGCATTTAACTTTTTCGACTGACTATCACTTTGTTAGTAGATTAGGAATAATAAGTCGTTATGAACAATTGCAAATAATTACAACAAGAAATTGTTTCATTCGTTGTGTGATTGGAACCATTATTATATTAAATAGATGGAAATCTATTCAGTTACGTAAATATTGATGGTAAAACTGATTTATTCTACTATTGATATATTTACAAATCCATGATACTTATTTGATAATAATTGATCTACATAACTCAAAGTACTGTACTAAAGTTGAATTATTTATATTGCTTAGCCAAAAAAATGGTATGGAGCTTTAGTCGCTCTTACAAGTCAAGGTGAACATGGGTCAGCTTGTGTAGGATTCGCTAATTTCAAGTACAGTGTTCGAGCTTCGTGGATTGGTAATCAAACTAAAATAATTGCTGTACCTTGTATTGAATTAAATGAATTATGAACAAATATTTTCACATGAATGACTATTTAATTGATTGGCTTATTTTTTTTCAAATCAATGTATTTCAAGCTTTCTTTCCCTGTAATTTGTGATACAAAGTTACTTTAGAATAAAAAAGGGTTTTCTTTTAATTAATAATGGAAGAGACAATAGTGACTATGCAATATGAAATGTAACAACAATGATTCATGAATAATGCATCCAAAAGATTTGAAAGAAATAATAAAGTTCTACCAAAAAGACAACTCTTTTTATCGAGACTGAAATTATTAAGATTATAATTCATTTTGAGAAGTACTAATAAGAATCATCTACCCTAATTATCTCTTAATTCTCATTTATCATTTCTTATGTATAATACAGTCAGTCATCTACAACAAAGGATTATGCACATATATGCATAGGTCAAAGTTACCATACATAACTGCCACAACACGATGAACACCAAATAGATAGAAGTAGTTATCTCAATGGTAGTAATATATAAAAGAAATATTGGATATAAGGATACAATACAGGGAGAAAGAATTAGTTCGTAGAAATGAAGGTATTCAGCAATTTTTATTTCACGGTTTAAGGGAAGACAAAGAGTGTATACACCTAATTAATTGTGATCGATTCTGAACCATGTCACCCAGAGTCTCCAACCATTGGTGATTAGCATGCCTGTGTTCTAAAACCTGACGAATGGTGAATATGTGATAGATGGATCTACTACCAGGTCTGAAGCCAACCTAACTTTCTCATGTTTGCAGTTCACAAGTCCTTATTAGGCGACCGATAATTATTGAGGCTAGTATTTTGGATGCCATATTGGTCAGACTGATTCCTCTATGGTTAACACCGGATGACTTTGACCCCTTTTTACATATTGGGACGATCAGTGATTGAGGCCAATCAGATGAGATTACGCCCTGTTCCCAGATTTGGGCTAAAATATAAGCAACCTAATCGCTAAAATTGGACCACCATACTTAAAGACATCTGAAGTTAGTCTATCTCGACCAGCTGCTCTTCAGATTAGCTATAGCTTTTTATCTTCAATTGGATTCGGGGGCGTATTTCAATGTCTCACTCTGGTTTTTTGGGTAGCTGCAGAGTAGGTAAAGGCCAGCTAAAATACTTACTCTGTCGCCCATCGTTCTTAACGTCTGGGTGGAGAGCAGATAAGTGTCGTCTTTGCTGAGATTGTCTCACACTTTCTCATTTCGGTTTCGTCTATTAGTCTGGAAAGCTAACTGGTGCTATCTACAGCTACTACCTTTTTCATCTCCTTTGCCTTCGTTGACCACCACTGCTCACGATCATTACTTAGACGTTTCGTTAACCTAGATCTGATTCTTGTTTTCGCTCGTCATCGTGTTCGGAGCCAGATGGGATGAGTTTACGAGTCTATTAGTACAAAAGTGTAGCAGTAACCACAGGTTTCTCGTAACGTTTTGGTTCAAATCACTGATGGATGTGGCTGCTGTTTCCACAGCTCCTCGTATATGTTTCCAAGCAACATCTGGATTAGTTTCATTTTCAAAATTGCATAAATGTAAGTTCAGTTGTTTCGAGAGTTTACCTTTGGCTTTCTCGTCACTGAGTTCTACTCTAATGGATCTTCTTGATGTGGCTTTTCTGAGTCCAATGAGGTGCAAGCAGATGGGTGCCCGTATTAGGACATGGTCGGAGTTCAAGCAGGTACAATCTTCTACCGACCCTCTCCAACGATGGCTGATTGCAATATGGTCTATTTGAGTCCATCGCTAGTCTGGTACAGAGATTCGCCATGTTAGACGATGTCTCTCCTTATGCTTGAAATTGGTGCTTGCTGAAAAGAGACGATTGTCTAAGCACAGTGGCAGCAGACGATCATCATTATCTGTTCGCTGAGCCGGAATAGCAAAATACCAACCTAAATGTCGAGGCAGGAGGAATAATAGGAACTGAAGAGGAAAATCGATTATGAATACAGTGATATTGATCGTTGAGACCTTATCACCGGAGACGGGTATCCATGGGGTACGGCAAGGTTTGAGTTTTGGGGTCGATCATTTCTTACCCCACCCTTCCTTTGTGAGAAGGCAGCATCACTGTTATGCTGGTTGTCTGAGGAGAAAACATTACTACCGTCACAGCTCTGTACAGTCAATATTACGACTTCGCACTTGGACCTTGGATTTGCTGTTTTTAATCTTATCGTTCTTTAACCGACATGCCTGGCATGGTAGGACCTTGAGGAACGATTGTTGCAGTCCGTATAGCCCGATCGATTCACCACGATAGGCAAGCCGAGCCACCACATCAAGGTAGCCGCAACGGTTGTGGATTTTCAGTACCATGATACTTTAGTACTTGTGAAAAAATAAATTTTCTAGATACTCTCATTAATATAACATATTAGTGTACATTTATGATAGCAAAAGAAATTTATTCGATAAAGAAGTCGACTACAATTGAAGAGGATAGTTTCATGTAAAACTGAATTAATTTAGTATTTTGTCTAAATGAATACGTATCTGTAAGTAACACACTTATGCTTTAAATATCATATGACATTATGAATTTATTTTAACTCATAACATAAGAACAGAATTCACATATCCACTGGAAGGTTGACTACTTGGTGAGAGGAAAATTATTTACACAGACATATTATCTCGGTATATGATATCAAACAGACTTTATACATTAATTGATTTATTTGCTGAATTACTAGTTCCTTTAGAATCTTATTTATGACACCACCGTAGATGCATTAGGCAGTTATGATATTCCTCTACTTCTAAGATTACAAAACATAAGCACACAGCTATTGTTGTTGAATAGTATGCACCAATATTATTGTCTTCTACTAGAACTTCATTCCTGATGTTTGACCTTCAAAACAATATCTTTTTCTCAAATACTTTGAAAAATTAGGAAACTATTTAAATCTTATTTCTCATTGATCTTGTTATATCCTAACGAAGAACAAACGAATGGTAACTTCTAGGAATTGTTTCTGGACTATGATTATATATATATTCGTATTCCCTTCAGTTGATCTAATGGCTATTGTGACACGATTTACCATTCTCAACTTATTCTCGATTTATTGGTTACAGCCTCTCACATTCACATTCACTTTTCGGCTTGATCTTATGTAGTAGTTATTTTCTATTTTGTAGTGTGTGGTCCGGTCTAATTTGCTTGTATATAAACTGAGTATGTCTGAAATACATGATTCATACAGTGGAAGCTGAGATTGTGTTCTGGACTCAACGGGCCTGCAAGGCAAGAATAACCAATAAAGACTCAGAGTTGACTCTAGGTTGCCTGTACTGGTTAACGCGTCATCGGTTTGGCACAGGGCGAATGTCGTATGAATCGGTGTTCTGATTGGCGATTTTGTTACGGGATAATTAGCAGGCCAAAAGGCATGATGGATCTGAATGGCTGTTCTGGTATAAATTTTAAAAAAACTGATGTGAAAATAACAAATTTATTGTAAAAGCTCAACTAAATGTAAAAATTTGAAAACTTTTTCAACACATCAATACTGAAGTAAAAACACTTGCATCTAGAAGAAAAGAAAATAGATAAAATATGCAGACAGGAAATAAGTTGACTTACTTGAATATCTTCAGTTTGGAATGATTTGATAGGATAAACTGAACCGGAATTAGTAACATTTGTATTGTTATTTGGTATCAAACTCCATGACATTGTAGGATTCTAAACAGACAATTTCGAGTTAAAAATTAGTTGTCTTGGACAAGAAACTTTGAGTGTTAACTGAAAAACCAAACTAGACGATCTACAAACATTGTAATGATGCTGATTAAATAACTTAATTATAGCAACATTTATTTGTCTCTCGAGTTATTATTATTATTATTATTATTATTATTATTATTATTATTATTATTATTATTATTATTATTATTGTTATGTAGCATGCACCATGATAATTTTTCATCAGTATGGGGGTTGTGGAGATTGTTAAGTTTTTGGTTGAGATCATGAATCAATTGATGTTAGATTACCGTTGGAAACCTGGAAGCACTGGACGGCCGTTTCGTCCTAGTATGGGACTCCTCAGCAGTGCGCATCCACGATCCCGCGAGCGGGGTTCGAACCCAGGACCTACTGGCTTCGCGCCTGAGCACTTAACCATTAGACCACTGAGCCGGCATCCAATGGTGTTAGTGTCTAACATCAACCAATCCACGAAATTGCGCGACCAACTTCCATTGTACTGAGGTAGATACCTGTCTCTACCCAACACAGATTAGCTCCACTGGTCACTTTAATGAAAAGATGCTATTGGCTTATGTGACGGGAAAAAGTATATTTTCAATCTTGTATAACAAGAATATTTAAAAGTGGATAATTTCTTAAAAGTTAGATGTACACTTCCTTAAAAACTGATTGTTTAAGTTTCAAAATAACCAGCTGAATACCACACGTTATCATGGAAACGTGTGTCTATAGTAATGCTAGAGACTATATTTACAAGCAATAGAAATTCTAAATAAATATTTTAATAATTATTACTGGCTGTAGACGAAACATTCAGTCTTCAGTCCAATATGTTAATCAAAAAGGATAGACTAAATTATTTATATTTCAACTGCTTCTTACTTCATTTTGATATGAAGACGAACAGAAATGTACCCACGGTTCCCAAGTCGTCTCTAAAAAAATCAAGACAAAGACGGATAATAAAACTACAGTTTGAAGGTCTCAAGAATGAAAATGGATTTGTAGATGGATCCAATCAATAATGTTAACCAAATAGCATTAAATGAAGTTCAAAATCAGTACTTTAGAAATCTGCTTTATATTTCTCGAAATGCAATTTCAAACTTAGCTACATCTATTTCAATTTGTATGATCGGGTAGTATACCCAACCATCATAAGTTTAGATGGTAAATAAGTTTGCGAACCCGTACTTAACTATTGAGATACGTTAACAAAAAAAACATTACTATTGACGAGGTCATAATCGCACCTTAAATTTAATAACTAATGCGAATTAATCTCGACCGATGATGAATCATTTTGTGAATAAAAGTGAAAACTGTCAATGTAACAGTAAGAAGAGTTTAGTAAGATTACTGCTAGAAAAAAGAAAAGAAAATTATTTAAAACACGAATGAAACAGATTTTTGGAAGACTAAAATTTCAAGCAGCCACTTAAAAATCGGTCATTTATATCAGAATATATTCACAGAAATATCACTCATAATTCAGTAATAACATAAGTAACATTTGACAGAAACCAAGCCAACTTTAAACTGTCCTTTACTCATTTATCATGCACTGAAGTTTAGATCTGAAGGCAGTCTAAAAAAACTAAACTGAGTACATGAACAATGTATAACAAGGTATTATCCAACAGCTTCCTCCTGGCATGGGACTCTGTAGCAATGACCATCCACTACCCCTCCCACTGAAGTAGAGTCTAAGACCTTCAGTCTTGCGCGTGCGACCTTAAATTTTTGACTACTGAGTCGGTATCCAATGGTTTACATGTTTAAATTCAATTAACTCGTAATAATCTGTGAACATCTTTCAATGTACTTGGCGAGTGACTATCTCATACTCTATGTAGTTGCAATCCACTGATCACGGCTTCACACTATAAATCCGGAACTACCTTTAGAAATTAGTTACTAGTGAATAAATAATTACTAAATATTAACTAGGGAACGTTCACGTATATTTTGTGATGCTATACAGTGTTTTATAATTAATTTGAAAGAAAACAACCTGAAAACTTTTATTTGTTGAACAAGCAAAAACAATACATTACGTGAACTGTGTCTACATAGATTAACAATCCACAAGTTGTATTTGCCATTAATTTAGTTCAGTTACGAAAAATGCGACTAACAAACATATCATCGTCAAAACCACCGAACTGATATTTTCAGCTTATTATGAACATCAACTAATGGATGTTAAGATTATTAATGGTGGGGCTAATACATGGTATGTAACAATGGGTACACAAAAAGCTAAATAAAAATCCAGTTCAGTTACATGAACAAAAACATACTATTTGCAATTCACATACAGACAAACGTTACTTTTAACACTATTCGTAACTAATCGTTATAAATCCTTACCAAACATTTTGTTAAATAAAAAACAGTCTATTACTGTTTTCGTGAAGTATCTAAGGTACGGCTTTTTAACACGCGAAAATTGTCTAATTATACGAGATAGTTTCAGAAATCTGTAGCCTTATTAGTAATTTTGAGCAAACAAACTGAGGATTATTTAAATATTATAAATATTTTAACCTACCAAACTCTAGGGGTTGCAGAAAAGAGTCAAGAATTTTCAAACGAATCAATATAGTAGCAAAATATTCTTGTAGTAACGAGAAACAAATATCCTGTCTAAAAAACAAATAGGAAGTAGAAATCGATGGGGAAGTACATAGTCATTTGCACGAAAAATTGGAAACAAATGGATTAAATTGAAATATATGGGTTGATATAAGTAAGACCACCATTGAGAATCTGGAAGCACTGAATGGTTTTTTCGTCCTAGTATAGGATTTCTTAGCAATGCACATCCACGATCCCTCATGCGGAATCGAACGCAAAACCAGTTCAGTGAGCTAAAGCCTAACCTCTAGAACACTGAGCTGACATCCAAAGCTGTTTATGTCTAATCTCATTCAATCCACGAAACTGCTTGACAATCTTCTATTGTTTTGGGCGAGTAACTGCTTCACATCTGACATGGATTATCTCCACTAGTCACAGCTTCTCATTAGAATTCAGGAAATTTCCTTTCGAAGCTATTCACCAGTAAGGTTAAGCGTTCGCGTTAGGGGCTGAAATCCTTGTTTCGAGTCCGGCACGCACGCGAATGTCCGGCGCTTTAACCGAATCCCAAACTAATGGTGCACATGGGCTCCAGTATCCTGTGGGAACAAATGGCGTATGAGCCAATTTTCGGTCACCGGATGCCATGGGACTGCATCTCCTTACGATGCTCCACTGCCTTGTGGGTTGGACCATTAGGTCAAATGCTCGGGGTGTGGCCCCCCTAAGATAACCACCTGCTTCGGTTTGGGCACCCGGGCAGTATCACAGCCCACACGCAAATGATGAACTATCTATATCTATGGAAACTATTTTTCTCGCTTCGAATAACAATCAAATGATTCAAATTATTATCATTACTATTATTGTTATTATTCACTACGACACTATTCACTTTCTTTTATTCCTACTCTGTCTATACTTATTTTTTCGAATTATACGGCAGCTCGTCTTTGGTGGAAATTCGACTCTATCGAAACGTTTTCGAGTCACTGTCCGGTTGAAAATTGTATGCTACCACCCAATACGAATACTGAAGCAGTTTTTCTGAAACCATGTGCACCATTCAAACTGGCTGCCTTCAACGTTCGAACACTAGTGCAGGTCGGACAACAGATAGGGCTGGCTATGTCTTTGGAAAGTCTTAATATTGATGTTTGTTGTCTATCCGAGACCCGTATTCAAGACTCTGGTGAAGTACTACGAATTCGCTCTTCATTTGTCGCTTCGAAAAGCTTGTTTTACGTGCGCTTATCCGGGGACCCTGTGGCATCTTTGTTTGGTCTTGCTGGCATTGGTGTCGCACTAAGCGCTAGAGCTGAGGCAGCACTAGTTGATTGGATCCCCATTAACAGTCGGTTATGTGCAGTAAGATTAGAAAGTTCCATCAAAGTGAGAAGAAACCGGCGTGAGAAACGATATCGCTTCGTCAACTCCAACTATGCCCCGACAGATTGCAGCCCGGATGCAATCAAGGATGAGTTTTACCACCAGTTATCTGTTCTTCTCCAGAAGGTGCGTCCGACAGATATTGTATTACTGACCGGAGACTTGAATGCTCAGGTCAGGCGTCTAGGCACAGAACAGAGTCGTTTATGTGGCCGATGGGGACTTGTTGGTCGCAGGACAGATAACGGGGACCGTCTACTGCAACAGTGAACAGACCACAACTTGTTTCTGGCTAGCACTAACTTTCGGCACAATCATCGCCGATGTGCCACCTGGCGTCCTCTCTCTGCATCTCAAGCCTGGAATCAGATTGATAACATTGCGATCAGCTACTGCTGGCGTGGTTGTGTACAAGATTGCCGCTCCTTTTGGAGTACCTATCTGGACTCTGACCATGCCTTGGTCTGCGCCAATCTTACCTTAATTTTTAGTGGACAAAGCGTCGATGAGAGCAGTTTTGCTCTATACTCGTGAAACCTGGCCTCTCCGAGTTGAGGGTGTTAGACAACTCTCTGTGTTCGATCATCGCTGTCTCCGAAGGATTGCTGACATCCAGTGGCAACACCATGTCAGTAATGCAGAGGTTCAGCATAGTGTGTTTGGACACAGAGACGATAATGCAATTGGTGTCACCATCTTGAAACACCGACTTCGGTGGCTTGAACATGTTCTACGAATGTCGTCCCAGAGAATTCCACGTCGTGCATTATATGCCGACTCTGGGACTGGTTGGAAAAAGCGGAGAGGTGGTCAGTATATGACATGGTGTTGTGGGATGAAAGGAAGCTGCAAAGGACTAGCTTATGTTGGTCCTTCATGACTCCCTGGCTGGGGTCCGAGAGATGGTGCGACACAGTAGCTGGAGACGTTATCAGATATGGCTCAGAATAGAAGCTAGTGGCGATCCTGATGTGACCTTCTTTTACTTTCTTCATAAAAAGTGGTTGTGTCTTCTTAAACTGAAAGATTTCTTCTGATTGTACCTTTCCGTTCCCCCATTTTTACCATTATTATTTTTACACCACCTTACATCCATCTCTTCGTTATTATTCTCTTTTTTTTCTTCCCCTTAAATTCTCATTGTTTTGTGTGGCGCATTCTTGTACCAATATTTATGTGTTCAAATAAAATAAAATAAATAATCACAGATTCAGAATGCTCAGTGCTCCCAAGTTTTTTATGGTGGTCTTAGATCGGTTCATTAATTTAATGAAATTCAACAATCTCCACAGCCCCTTACTGACGGAAGGGATTAGTCGCAGATGTATGTATGTATATACTATACATACCTTAACGGCAAAACGGTTTTAAATCTGGTCAGTAATGCACCGGCAAACAAAGATCAATATAGGTTACTTGGTGGGAAATGTATTAATCGGTAAAAGTGCATGCAAGAGTGAAAGAAGATTAGTTACGTATATTTTATGATTTGTCAAAACGTAAACTTGACGCTAAACAACAATTAAGTTAAAAATAAAACATGTTGTGACGTGCGGTATCACAAATCTGATACTGATACACAGTAAGATATGCGCTGACCCACCCCCTTAAAAGATTATTTGAGTGACAACACAAGAGTGAGTGAGAAAGTGTATTACACCTGCTATAACTGTGACGGCAGCAGATTGGGGAAGAGCGAAGTTATCGAACGGCCTAGGGTTCTGATTGGCCCCGCTTACCTGTCTAGCCCAGCCAGTTGAGTCCAGAACACAAGTCACAGCCTCTGAGATATGAATCATTATATTTCGAACACACTCTGTTTATATGCTAATCAAGCAGACCACATCGTACGATAAAATAGAAAATAACATTGTACAATATTGACCAGTAGGAAAATGACACGTGAAATAAGTACTGACTAATAAGAAAATAATACCATCTCTAAGTCCAAGAATAGCATTAGACTTAATAGAATAATTTCTGGGATATTTTCCTGAATATCCCAACAACACCATCGAATGAAATGAACAAATACTCATTCATATATATACCACTCTATCCTTCGGAAACCGACCCACTGACTCCAATAAAATGTACTTGACCTTTGAGTCAATTCTGATTGCCATCGATCGACCTTTTGTTACTTCCGATTGGCTCTCCACATCAATATATTTGTAATATCCCCATGAGCAGAAAAGTCAAATTTTCTGACATTTCGTAACTCAGTGATAACCACTTCTTCCGAAAAGAAATAAACAAATTAAATTAACCCAAGTATGAACAGTACGAAGAAAGAATATTTGATGTGATAAATCAAAACAGGTCGCCTTGACCGAAATGAAATGATACTGACTTTGTCAGATCTGGTTTTGATTTATCGTATCAAGTATTCTTGCTTTGTACCTTTGTACTTTTCATACTTAGGTTAATTTCATTTATTTACTCTATGAAGAATTGGTTTACACTGAGTCATGAAATGTCATGAAACTCAATTTTTTACTCATTGGGATATTGCAAATATATTATTTTTATTATTAACAATCTACACAATGCTCAATTTATTTTAAATGATCAAGTCAGATTAAGTTTTTTTTTAAAAATAGGGAACCATATGACGTATATTTTCAAGTTGAAATCAAAAATGAAGATTGATTGACATGAGTGACGATTGGTTTTAATGGAATAAGTGCATTAATTTTTTATGTCCTCAAATCTTTTTTTCTTAGTTTCTGCTTGTACCTTGTCAACTTACGTTTTCTTATATATATACCTGTTACCATTAATGGGGCATAGGTCATATACCAGGAATACCTGAACAATTCTATCTCGGACTCTCAATTCTAGGTGTTGCCAACTACTACTTATCCTTTTGACGTCTGTTAGCGGGATATAGATTGAATTAAAGCATATTCCGTTCAGAATCGTGTTGGGGCACTCTGATTGGCTATTTATTAGCACTAGCGGATACTTGGAGAAGACTCTAGAATCTTATTTTGTAAAAATTATAGATATGCTAACGTTTTTCGCATTGTGATCCCTACTTCCACTCAACCTTATCTGAAATATAATTACATCCCTGTTGAACCGTGCCCAGTGAAGTAGTGTCTAAAAGTACTAAGCAATAAGAGTAGCTGGGTCGTATTAAGAGAGTTCATAACAACATCTGTCTACAATTCCCAGTGTCATGGGTATTTTGCATTCAGGATCTTAAGTTAGGGCATTTCTCATGATATAGTTTGATAATTTCCGAAATGTATATTTTATTCAGCTCCAGTTTCTCGTCCTAATTGTTTCTTCAGCTGGTTTGTTCCTTCGTAGTAGGTTGTTGCTGGTGGTTTGCGGCCAACGAGTATTCAGTATCTTACGTAGACAAATATTTATAAATACTTTCACCCTTTTGATGATTGTTGTGGTAGTTCTCCTAGTTTCAGCTCCGTACAGTGGAACTGTTGTTTGCACTGAAGATTCTCACTTTGATGTTGGTTGGCAGTTGTTTTGAGTTCCATATGTTCTTCATTTGTAGGAATGTTGATCTTGCTTCGATAAATTGTGCTTCCACAATTACATTAGATCCTTACTATGTACTAATGATACAGCACAGAAAGGTGAAAGCTTTCATCTCTTCCATAGCTTAGTCATCAAGCTTAGTTTAGTTGGTGCTCGCAACTATATCTCATAATCTTCTTTTTTCCCGTCGTGAATGTTGAGCCTTACTGTGGTAGAATCCGTTTTAATTTTATTTGCATTTGTTGCTGAAGCCAGTTTTTGCTGTTCAGCTTGTGTTTAATGGGTTCCACTTATTCTAAGCAAAGTGGCGTTGTATTTTTTTTCATTTCTACTGCTATTCGAATAAGTTTTTCGGTCTTTCACGTTCCTCGAACATTCCATACGCTATATTAATTGTTGCTCTGGTTGTCAAAGGGGACATCATGACTTCCAATGAGTCTCCGCTTTCATTATGAGCTGCCCTCACTCTTCTACATGAAGACCCTTCAAATCCCTGAGCGGATTTTAAATGGGTCTTTTTCTAGTAGATTATTTTTACGGGATGAAGTCACTAATCCAACACTTATCCCTTCTACTTTATCTGCCCTTGAGTCGGCAACAACCCTAGAAGGGCTCTAGGTGAAGCTTTACGTCCTCTACTTATTTTGAAGTTTTTTAAATATGTCGGGTATTTCGATACGCTTACAAAGTAATATGACTTGATCGGCTTTGCTTTTGATAAAGTTAAGTATGCTTCACATACAAACACCAAATAGTTATCTAAGAATCTTAATTCAAACAAATATTTACTTCATTGTTGATGTTTCAGTGTCATTTTCAGTTTGATAGGATATCAACACTCTGGCCAATAGCATTAGGAACTGTATCGCTGATCATCAAAATTGATTAATGTTAGTATGAAATCATCCTCGAAGTAATCTTCTATCCATTTATTTGGAAGTTATCTTCAAGTCATTTTTCAACAAACAACGAACAATGAGTCTTTGAAGGTTCAAACATATTCATCAAGATAAAACCTAAGCAATCTCTTTGTAATAAAAATACCCATTAGGCTGTATTTGAAATAGCTGAAATAATATCTACTTTTATTTTTGATGACAAAACTCGCTAAAATGAAGGGAATGCACCAGCGTCATATGAATCAAACAATCAATGATCCTCCAACAAAACGTCAAGGTTGTATGATAGATAGTAGTAAAATAATTTGACAGACGAAATTTATCTCAATTTATAGTGCTTGCTCATAGTATTTAAGTAATCCAGGCACTGGAAAGACGTATAGCTTGTTTCGAATTGACTACAGTTGTCACATCGTAGTTGATTAGCTCGGATTAAATCATAAATATAACTAATAAACCTGATAAAAGCGGAGTAATTTGTTTGTTTATTCGATTGGCATATACATGCAAGTTGGATAAGTAGAAGCACCACGAGAAACTAGAAGAATGCCTTACAGTAACAACATAAATCTCAAGATAGTTAGAGTAAATCACTGGAAGGTTGTAAAACACGTCGAACTAAAAGATTTTGCTTAACTATAGTGTCTTATGCTCTTGATTATTTCCCACTGAATCACGGAATTTAATCCAATCAATCTATTTGATTTCGCGTAAATAATTATTATTGTTAGATCTACGTAATTCACTAGAAGTAACAAGTTAGTACATAAACTAGTAAAATGAACAATTAGTAATTATTATCCTCTCAAATGAAAAAAATTATCAATTTATCAAACTTTCGCTAAACAGATAAACGACCACGAATGTATGAGCACTCAAAGACTGAAACTATGTTATTCCACGTTTTTAAATGAGATTTTATGAAAACCTCAGTTGAAAGCTGATTACAACAGAATGATTGTCCACATTCGAATGGTTCAATAACCAAATGGTATTGAAAATCAGGAACTATGGGAGAAATCATAATTAAACATATTTTCTATTATGATATCTTAACTACTTTTGGGAAATGCCAAAATCAAAGTACTACGGTAGTGTGTAATGTTTTCAGAAAACGAACAGCTCACAATGACCAGAGGTTAAATGTCAAGCATGTCCAGATAGCCCGGAGTTTAACCATCTTACTACGAAAAAATCTTAGAATATTCCTTAGAGGAAAATGTCAATAATTCGAAATAATTTGATTTTTATCATAATCTGATTATGGATGTTCTTTTAAGTGATTATTAGGCATATAAGATTGGATTCGAAGACCTTGTGAAGACCCTTTACAATTCTTCAAGAAAAGGGAAGGCGTTGAAACAGAACGAATACTCTAGACTATTTTTAGGGTTATTTATATCTCTATTGTATAATGAGTAGATAACGGTATTGTTGTATTTCTATGTTTCTCTTATTTTAAGCATTCAGTTGACCTACTGACTTGCTATACGTCTTACTTACTTACGCCTGTTACTCCCAATGGAGCATAGGCCACCGACCAGCATTCTCCGACCCACTCTGTCCTGGGCCTTTTTTACATTGTACGAGCATTCCATGGACTTAAATAAATGGTTGCTATGGTTGTCAGAAGGGGCATCGTCCTTGTGACTTCTGAGGGAGATTGGCATTCACCATGAGGCGTCATAACTCTTCTAAATGAAGACCTTCTGACTCCCGGGGCAGAGTTTAAATGGTATGAATAAATTTTTGGTTAGCGTTTTTTAGAGTTAGTTTTCTACGGGATGGGGTCACCAACCCTATGCCCAACCCTCCTCTTTTATCCGGGCTTGGAGCCGGTAGTAGCCCCATAGGGGCTCCAGGCGGAGTTTGCTGTACGTCTTACTGGTCCCTAATTATGTTTAATTAGTGATGTACTGTGTCCTCTCATTTAGTGTGCTCTGTACTTAGGCATTTCAAGTATATTATTGTATAAGTATTGATCCATGGTCGAAATGGATACAATAGAAAACAGATCTACTCTAATCTGAATCTTCTGATTGGCTAGTGGGTTAGAAGGAACCTGAAGACCAATAAGTATTAAGGCATTGATTGTTATTCCTTGGTCAGCGTATAAATCCTTGAAATGTGTCGCCAGTCCGATTGGCAATATAGTACGTGGTATCGTTTGGAATCTCTAATTATAACATATTCCACGCCTTCTCAAAATATAGTATTTTAACTCACTGCCAATCATTATCGGCTTCTCGTTTAAAACCTCAAACATTTTGGACTACTTACACTAACTATATTCATTTGCCTTATTCACTGCTGTCTTTGGTTCGCTAATATGGATTATTACAAATTTGTGATCAAAAGTGCATCAATGTCAATTAAAGAATGTTGCTCCTTCAGGAAATCAGTTATTAACGTATTTTGGACTAAATAAACTAATTTTCTTAATGTACAAACATTTTCAGGGAGAACATTGATGGCTTGACATAAGTGACTAAAAAGAAGTTCCCTAAAAAAAGTGTAACAATACTACCTTTCTAAACAAATCTCACCGGATAAACTCTTCATTTAGTTTATTGAACTGTAAAACAAGTGATTCAATGGGTTTCGACTCAAATGGACTGGCCGAAATAGATTTAATTACAACACGCAATTCATCTATCTCCGAAATCTGGGGTCGTAAGGATTCAATACAGTCGAAAATGTACTTCTTTACATCGGGATTATCGCAGGTCTAAAAATGAATAGATTGAGAAGAGAGAGTCTTAAAAAAGGGTAACGCTAATGACCTCAATATTATCTTATCAACCAATTGTCCTAATTTGTTTGAAGGAAGAATAAATGCTCCCTGAAAAATTATCTTTAAAAAAATATAAATCATGAATCCTACAGCTTTCTGATACGCAGGTGAAAGTTCACAAGTGCTTCTGGAAAACTCTACTCACTTCATCTATTTCTGGTGGCTTGGGAAGACTGCGCTAGTCTGCTGTGCACATTGATTTGATTCTGAAGAGGATATTAAATACAACTGCATCGACTTATTTACTATAGTTTTGCGCACAAGTGTTGACTGCTCAACTGATTAATTTTGTAGTTAAAAGTCACTGAAATTAATCGATATATGATCGGACCAACTTCAATGAGATTCAATCCTTCTGGAGTCTTTACCCACACATCCTTCTTACAATACTTTTCTTTTTCCTTTCGCATAGTACGGTGGGTTCTCATTGAAGTGTTGCACATTTGTCATATCCAGTTCATATAGATCGAGTTTCATGTTAGAACTACCCAATCATTCGCAACCTGGACTCACTGTACAACAGTGATCCAAAACATTAGCATATATATACAATGCAGTCCCGTGAGCAGTAATCACTAGGCCACGTTGCATCATTGCATATAACCGACTAACTAACATCCTATTTATTGATTTCAACAATCGAAAACGTGTTCATAACATCATCGAGTTCTATTCTATATGTTCCTCCTCAGCTTTTAATAAAGTTATAGTTTAGTATCAAGAAACTACAGGTAGTAGGATGCATTACGGGAAAAAAAGTTATGTAGCTGCTGTATTCGAATCAGTTACATCCCAGTAGTTTTCCGTGTCAAACTATGTTTCACTAAGCTTAATACGCAACACCAAACTGTTCGTAATATTTGTTTGTGGCTGTTCAGATATCACATCTTGCACAAGATATGCTGGTGATGTATAAGGCCATTCAACTATTGTATTATTTGTCTACTCACTGTAATTTACACACTGAATTCACTGTTAATTTCTGTGTGTGCATGACTGGGCGCGTGTCTGCACATCAATCTTTAATCTATCCTCCCATTGGTTGTGACACACAGATAATCAATAATTTATCCACACTTGATTAACACTCATAATACATATCGATTTTTAACTCACACTCATACACACACACACTCTGTTTCGCTGTGTGCTTGCGGATTTTATTAATCTTTAATAATAAAGTATCTTTACAACTGGTGTTCAGGCTTCCGAATAATCTCGAGTAAATCCATAACTTTACTAGGAGATTTAGTCAGCGTTAAATACTCAGTTAACGGGATATCATTTATTGGAGTCAGATATAGAGAGGAAATTAGCCTCCACAGTTACTTAAAAGTACGAAGGAATTTAAGTAAGCAAATTGATCGATCCTAAGAACAGTTATACTAGATACAAGAATGGACAATGAGGAACCTAATGCTAATTAATGGAACTTATGAGTGCCCATTTAAAGTATAAACTTGGACGGAACAATTTGAAATCATCTCACATCACACAATAGTGATCTTCTCCACAACTTAATGAAACTAGCGACTGTTATATCCCGATGAGAATAATGAATAGTAACTGTCGGAATCTATTTCTGGACTGACACTATACGTATATTTTTATCGTAAATTTTTTAAATAACTAAAATATTCATATTCATGTTCCCCCAACCATAAGGTTTATTTTGACCTATGAATTATTATTAGACGATTTACCACTTTTCAGTTATGCCCAGTCTATCAATTACTATCTCTCAAATTTACAGCCACTTTTGTCTGAATCTTGTGCAAATGTTATTTTCTATTTTATGGTACGATGTGTTTTAGATGGTTTGTATATAAATTCAGTATGTTTGAAACACATGATTCATATCGCGGAGGCTGAGATTGGTGTTTTGGACTTAACAAGCAGGAAGCAGGATTAATAAGGACTCTAGACTGCTCGTACGGGTTTTATGTATTATTGGTCCGATCGATAGATTACGGTTCTCTGACTGGTAGTATCATTACGCTACACATTAATAGGGCACAAAACCGCAAGTTATAACAGCGACAACTTGCAAAAGTGTTATCTTATTTCCATTTGACAGCTGCTACTTAAGTATGATGACCGGATTTGCAGAACTTAGTTGAGCCCTACTGATTGAAATGCATGTTTTGTAAGGTCTTACCGCACAATCATTGAAAGACGGGAGAACTAAGAATGACTAATGCCATCATGCAAATAACTGTTTATTCAACAGAAGTTTGGGGAACTAGAAAGTTCTGTTTGTTTGGAAATGACGACAGTAGTAGGATACTTTGGTCTGGTAACCAGCACTGAGTTATCTAATATTCCCGATCTAGAAAAATCTATAAATCTGGAGGGAACCAGATTTCTCTTTGTTTGACACCTTTCGATTGGCAGTAGTAAGGTTCGTTAAATAAAGGATAAAATTGCCTAACGATCACTGCCTATGAAGAACCCATGTGAGCAGTGGCAACGAAAGTGCTTAATGACTTATGTCGTCTGAAAACCTACAAGATGTCGGCATACACAAAACGCTACACTCTTAATCATACCAAAATTTTCCCACCAATCTGTGGTCTTCTTTATTTTTATTCTTTCCCCATTAATAAAACAAGAAGTATTACAGTTTTCCGTAAATCTGTTTCGGCCAGTCAGTTACAACCTGTTTATTTTACGACTATTCATGACAGTCTGACCCTACGAAACAACAGAAACTGGGAACAGCCGAAAAGGATTTCCCAGGACAGAGTTTGATGGGGATACCTAGTGGGCGGTCTATGATCCTCCACGAGGGGTAACTAAGTGTGTGGACGTCATTACAATTTGGTCGATTTCTATAAAAGGCTATATTCAGTATCAAGCAATTATCTCATGCAATTTTGGAATTTTTCGTATAAAATAACATTTAAGCATTTTTTAAACTAAATAGCCAACTTTGATAAGTGCGCTATCTTTGTTTTGACTGCATAATGATAATAGTGTTAATAACCTCTTTTGATCCATAAGTAAGACTGAAAAGGTAAGTGATATCTCAGCCATTCACTTTCAGCGCAACCTAAAATGACAACACTAAGTAACGCAATTTCATAGACTGATCAAACATTTAACGTATATTTTGGAATTAAAAGACCTTTTAAAATAAAAGTTGCTGGATAATCAATTCAATAGCACACTAGCTAGGTTGCATAGTACGATGGTGGATACGAAATTGAGACCCTAAGCTCACATAATAAATAGGATGGTACTGAATACTCCATATCATGTCTTATCACGATTATGATAAGAATTCTCAAATATCGAATATCACAGTGACACAATTCAAACAGCAAGTATGACTAGATGCAAAGTTTGATAACCGACCAGAAAGCGAATCAGGCGAAATGTTCATGAAATTTATGCTTTTAACACCAGAAGTAGTACTGAAGATATTTATTGACTCTGCTTATTTGCTTTAATTATATCGTTACATATTATCGACAAAAATAAGATAATAAATAGTCGTACACAGGAAGAAAAGCCTTTACCCTTATAGTTCATATTGCCACACTAATCAACATTAAATTGAGAAAGAATTAACGAAGAGTAAGCAAACTACACTGAATAGTCCTACAGGTATTTTTAACATGTTCATTAATCGAGGCATATTGGACGCATGCAAGCACCGCTTACTTAGACATGGTATGCTGAGTATTGTATAAGTGGTTGATAAGATGTTAAACACCGGCCACTGAGATTGGTGATTGAATTCCTCTAATTATTTTGGTTTTGGCAATCACTTATTATAACTATATCCAATATAAAAAGTGTAGCTAAAAACCCAGTACATTAAGCTTTACATAGTTACTGAGCTCCATTAAAAATTAGGGACATGAAAATCATTACATGGAGTTAGAGTATGAAGTTTTATACCTTGCCTAAGTTGCACATTTACATTAATGTCCAAAAAAATTCAATTAAAATTTGAAGCTCTTAGTGAAAACTAAAGAGGTACTTTCACTACAGGTAGTGTTTATAACCTTATACGCATCTGAACTATTCACTGAACTACCAGACAGCTGACGTGTAAACCACCAAGTCACATTTGGTGAGTAAAGTGGACAGCGAGAGCGAAAAAAATGGAAAAGGAAGCGAGGATATGTAATAGCAGACAATTATTCAGAACGATCAACTAAACAGACATTAAAAATCCGGTTAGTGGAAGTATCTCCAAAAATGATGAGATTGTTACTCACTTTTAATTCAGTAGATTAGACCGATCGGTAGAACACTTTAGATAACAGCTCAAATGACCTCCAGTCACACCTCTGTTAACTATTATGTCCAAGTAATATGAGTAGTGAAATGATGTAAGTCTACCAACTCTTAATGAGGTTGTAAAAGCTATGGACAATCTAAAACTACGGACAGCAGCACGGCCTAGTGAACTGACTTCTGAGATTTTCATGGATGGTATCCCAATTTTAGAAGTTTGATTGACTGAGATCATAACTAGAATCTGGGAACTGTTAGTAATCCCATTAGACTGGTCTTGGTAGATGACTGTTCGTATATCAGAAGGGATAAAAATACTATTGAGAGGAATCAATTTAACTAATATAGTGTCTAAAATATTAACTTGAATAATGCTTCGACGTCCAACTAGAGCTCGTTAATTACAAGTCGGAGAGAACCAGGTTGTTTTCAGACCTGTGTGTGGATGTATGGACCAAATATTCACCCTTCCACAGGTTCTGAAAAATAAGCATACTTCTCACCGCCCAACTATGGTTGCATCCCTTGACCTTAAAGAAGCACTCAACTCTGATGATGGTGTGGTTCTGTGGCCGTGTGTCGCTGAAGGGCATGTCAAATGAATAAACTAACCTCGTAGACCCACTACTCGAACACAACCGGTCGAGTCAGAGCTTATGACGAATCATCAGTACTGGTTTCTTTTAATAAAGTTCGTCAGGGTTATCCACTTTCCCAATTTTACTTAACTTTGGTATAAACATTCTTTTAGAAATAACATTCCTGCCATCTAGCTTTCTGATGTCGTTCTGCTACCACATGTACTTGTTAACTTGGAATACGAGGATTTTATAGTTCTGTTTGGTGAAGACGCTGACAAAGTAGTCTTCTGACCATCTTAATTAACAATGCGAGCATTTTTGGGATGCGGTTTTCTCCCTCCAAATCCACGATTTTATCTCAGGTTTGGCCCATGTCAACGCCTGAATTAGTGGTAGGGAGTGAAGCAGTTAAACGTATAAACTACTTTACTTATCTTGAAGATCTCATCAGTCTTGATGGTCTGGTGTTTGACGGAGTCTTGGAAGGGGTTGGAAGGCTCGATTGGCTTTCGTCGGCTTGAACCATTTGTGGTGAGAGAGATACCCGCCTTCCAACCAAAGGGTAGGTTTATAGTGCAGCTTGCTCCGTTCTACATTATGAATGTGAAATATAGACATTAGGAATAGAGGATGTTCGTAGGTCACTGGTGTTCGATCATAGGTGTTTGAAGCATTCCCCGCGTATTTTTGAACCACGGAGTAGGAATAAAAATTGACTGATGAGATGGTAGATCTATAATAACAGCTGAGGTGGTTGGTACATGTGCTACGAATGCCTAACCACCACCAACCTTAATGGGCGATGTTGTGTGGTGTATTATTAGTAGTAGGCTGAAAGAGAGTTAGGGGCGACCATACCAAAACATGGCATCTGTCCAAAAAGTCATTGACAATTAGAATGAGTCGTGTTAATGGGTTTAAACTACATGGTTGGGGTCTGCGTGATCATCGTGACCAATGGTTAGAGACGTTGAATGGCTGGTCCAAATCTGGCCACCCCTAACATTCATCCAAAAATCCCCAACACTAGTCAGCATTGTGCGTCGTGGTAATCACTGTTCAGGCATACGTAACACGTGGCCCAACCATCTCAGTTGGTGAAGATTTACAACCTTACCAACTGATTTACCATCATTCCCTAATACCCTGAGTCTAACCTCACTATTACTTACCCGGTAATCCCAGCAGACGCCAGCAATATTTCTAAGACATCTGTGGTCAAATACTAGTAGCTTACGACTATCTTCTACTCTTAATGGCCATGTTTAGCAATCATAAGGTAAAACAGAACTGCCGCGCAGTATATTCGTCCTTTGATTGATAGATGGGTATCTCGACTTCGCCATAGATGACGTAAGTTGGCAAAAGCGGAACGAGCTATTCGAATCCATACTGAGATTTCGTCAGACACCAACCCATTAGGGCTGATCAGACTTCCAAGATAAGTGAAGTTGTCAACGCGTTCGACTATTTCACTCCCTATCCTTAGTTCAGGTGTTGACACAGGCCAGTCCTGAAGCAACAACTTGCATTTAGAGGGAGAGAAGCGCTATCCAAACATTCTGGCATTGTTGCTTAGTGCTACTAAAAGACTCGGAATTTCATCAGCGTCTTCACCAAACAGAACTATCTCATCTGTGTATTCTAAGTCGATAAGTGGACCTCCTGGTTGGAGACTAATACCCGAAAATTCAGTCGGCGAGAACGTTATGTCTATCACTATGTCTGTGATGAAGTTGAACAAAAATAGAGATAATGGACAGTCGTGTCGGACACCATTTAACGAAGCTAAATCAGTTCGTCACAAACTCTGACTCGACTAGTAGTGTTTGAGTGCAGAGCCTTCACAAGGTTTGTGTACTTCTGAGGTACACCTTCTGATGACAGGCACGGCCACAGAACCTCTCGGTCTACAGGGCCAAATGCTGCTTTTAAGTCAGGAAAAAATATCATTATCGGACGCCGATTAACATGCCTGTGTCCTAAAACCTGACGAATGGTGAATATGTGGCCTTTTATTACCACTGATGCTCCTTATAACTTATTATTACTAATGTCTTTATTGAATGTTATATTTCGATACAATATATGTATTGCATATGAAATTATGTGGGGAATTATATTCCACTCATCAAAGTTATTCAACTGGAGTCAACCGATGGCAGCTGAAAGGTATAACGTACGTGCACAACCCAGAAAGTTAAAGTCAATGTGAAACTTTAACCTTTCTATCCGTTTGTTAATGCTTAGTTTGATAAACATGAATGGAGAAAACCCTATATTTTAGATGGGAGTGGAGTTCGAAAAGGATTTAGATTATTATCAGTAGACATGCAGAAATCTAAGGAAAACTATGGTGAAGTAGGATTAGTATGACTATTGGGAGATCGAGAGAACGCAAGTGTTGGAAGAGATGTCAAGGCTCATAAAATAAAGCAACTGAGTGTATTAAGCTTATTTACATCATTAGAATTATTGCTTAGGAAGGTGGTTCAAAAAAGATAACTCATTTTTCATGTTAAAATTTATAAAATCGATTTTGACCCAAGCGTTTTCAGTCTAATGTTTAATAATAATACTTGGTTATATGGCTTAAACTAATAAAGGTTAAAGATTACCTACGTAGCAATGCGTTGAGCACAAGAAACATATTCTTAATGGCAATATAGAAAGTCTTACAGTTCTATGCATTCATTAACATTTTAAGAAACTTTATGGCCACCAAATATACTTCATGCATAGAGAAGCGTTTTACTTAAATTATTAAGCATAATAAGACCAATAAGTTAAAAATGAAACTCGAGATGCATTTTTATTGTCCTAATTGGGGCACCTAAATTGAGTTACAGACTACTTGTCTATAAAAACACCATTGAACACTGGAAAATGAAAGTAACGTTATTTTTCTAGGTTTATTTCACAAGACTTACAGAGAAATCACGATTATAGTCCTCAAGGGATATTAATGTCTAATTTCTCTAGAATAATGGAATACCTATGTTGTATGACATTATGTAATTGTGAAATGCTACTTATGGGCTTGATTACAGACCATAATCTTATCTCCCTGTTTAAATCCTTACAATACTGTCTGATTATCACACGCAAGACTGACACATGACATGAAGCAATCGAAATTTGTCACAGTCTAACAATACTAAATGGGATTACATTCTCTACCATCTAATGGACGGAAATAAAACAGCCACAGCAGGACAAACCAGGTATTTGTTGAATGCTACATCTTTAAATATAACCAGTATTAGGCGTCTAAGGCAGTTCAGTGATACAGAAAATCAAGGAAAATACTACTTTAGCACATACATGCTTTTGTTTTTCGTCTCTAATAATCATATAGATGAAGTTACAAGAAATTGCAATAGATTACCTTTAAATGCAGGCCAAAAGCGACAAAGTCAGTAAAAGAAGCACGGGGGTAAACATTTCTTTCGTATAAATACAAATGAATCACAGATTCAATAAAGTAACTGATTAAATTATCAACTGGCAAAAAATGTTAGTCAAAAACTAGGAACAAACCATCTACTTTTACATGCCGAGCCTGCATCGAACTAAAAAGGAAATAAAAATATGAGTTAAAGTATAAGTATAAACAGAAAATATATTTTCATCCCCACGCCTGAGTTTTACAATAATGTAAAATTAGTTTTCCTTCTACACTGAAACAGTCATATAATGAACCTATCTCAGCATCCATGGCCGGTGCGAAACACTGATTTACGTAGAGAAATAACGATTCAGAAGGAGCACATGATATATATTTTCTTATAAAATCCACTACCCAATGGATTTTCTGCTTCCTGCTCACAGACCACTTCATCTTTTTCATTACAGGAGCATTTCCAGCAGCCTTAAGCAAAAGTATCACTTTATCTGGCTGATTTTCTTGCTCACTATTAGTAGCACTATTAGGTTCAGTGGACAAACTCATACGACCAATCTGTCCCGCATGTACATACAACTAATTAACCTTCTGAAATTGTACTGTTTCAGGGTCAAATGGGTCAAATGGTTCAAATGGTTTTCGACGAAACAGAAGAAGCTTTCGCTTAACGGGTTTCTGTATCTAGTAGCAGTGGATCATCAATACCTCCATATAGGAACCTATTTATAATAACGATAAAGGACAAGAAATAAAAAAATTGGGAAATCACAGTAAGATACTGTCCTTAGTCAACAAGAATATGACAAGTTTGCTCTTAAAGGATTCTCGGGAACTCGATTGAACTAGCTCAGCCGGTAAAAAATTCTAGAGTCTGACTACTCTTGAGGAGTGTATGGTGTGTCTACAGTTCGTTCTGTTGTGTTGCGTCTCCAGTTTCTGGGTGTTACTCCCAAGGTTTGTGTCGGGAATAAGCTTAAGTAGCTGTTTAGGGGGTGTCCAGAAGTATTCAGGATGTCATAAGTCATTAAATTGCTTCCAAGACGCTGTTCTCTAATGCGTAAAGGTTCAGTTCTTGGAAGCGCTCTTCATAGGGCTTGAATTTGAGTCCCTGAACTGAGTTTGTGGCTTGTCGTTGGATACGTTCCAGAGTGTTCTCATCCTCTTAGCTTGAGTGAGGAAATACTATGCTTTAGTACTCTAAATGCGGATGGATGAAACTGTTGAAGATTATATGGAAAACTCTTCCGTCGAACAGCCTGAAATGTGCTTTGATGTTTCCAGTGCAAGGTTTGATTGGAAGGCATTTTGTTCGCAGTTAGCAAAAGACGTCAAGTCGTAGATTAAAAACACCCCCCAGATCTTTCTCAACTTGGGATACCTCTAGAAGGGATTTGCCTAAGTTGTATTCGTAATCTGCAATATGTCTAAGATGGACCACTTTACATTTTGAAGAGTTAAAGTTTAGTTCGTTGTCATCTGCCAAACTTTGAAGTCGAGTCAGATCCTCCTGAAGTACCAGTTTATGCTCTTGGTTACGCGCTTTTCTCCACAGTTTCGTGTTTACATCAAGTTGAGGGTGGACTTCACAGTCTACCTGATGTATATTGTCTAGTTTAGCTGACACATCCAACCGTTTAAAATTGGATGTCTTAGCTCAGTTTTGCTGGTAAAACTAAATGCTATGATGGCGTGATCGCGTCTCCCTAGGGGAGCTAGGATTGAGGGGTTGTCAATTAGGAATTTTTTGTTTCTAAATACTTTGTCAAAGCGCGACGGTATTTGACTGTTTCCCCAATGAGTTACCGACCCCACATTTTCGAATAGTATCAGATCTTCAGTAAGGTTGAAGAACCGAGCTTCAGTAAAGTTTTCACCTCCAATGTACGTATCTTCCACGAAATCGACTTCAGGAAGACTGAAATCCCCTAGAATCAGGATATGAGTGAATCCGAGACGAGTATAGCGAGATAATCCTTCCAGCATATGATTGTCGTACTTGATGTCAGGAGTGGACTTCCTGTAGATGACTCCAACTAGATACCTCGAGGTGGTGGATGATCTTAGTGAGCACCATACGGACTCTTCGTGTTTGACAAACTCTTAGTTGTGCACTCGATGTAGAAGCCGAAATCAATCACAAACCTTGGAAATAAACGTCTTAAACACGTTACCCATACGTCAGGTATAAATAGTTATCTGAATTGTAATTGGCCACTTGGTCAAAACCATAGACCTGATAGTCTTCTCGGTCCGGCTCCCAATATGTACACTATGCCCATATCAGATGTTATATCCAATAGCAATGAGAAAACTTTTTTTGTAATTCCGCCGGCTTTCCTGCCGGCAACGGTAAACATATTTCACATGATGACAAAGTGGTTGAATCTATTTCCCCTCGCAACACGAATCTTACCTTAGCTAATCCTATGAGTATTAATGGAACTACCAATTGCGATTTATACTCTAACCTGCTTCACTATGATGACTCTGAGTTTCTTATTCTTTCGTTCAATGCCCGCTCTCTGTCTAATAAAATCATTCATCTTAAAACTCTTTTATTCCTTGTAAATCCAACCATTGTTCTTATTACGGAAACGTGGTGTAATTCATCTATATCCGATCATTCCTTGAATGTAGATAACTACGTTTTCTTTAGAACCGATAGATGTTATGGAATAGGAGGCGGTACAATTATCTATGTCTGTTCAGACATTCAAGCGTGCAAATTTGAGGATAAATCCCTTGATGCTATAAAAGACTCTACTTGGGTTACTGTAAACTGTGGATCCCAAAATTATTTACTGGTGGGATGCATATATAGACCACCTCATGCGGATAATAAGTTTGACAGATTACTAACAAACATATTTTCCATTGCTTCGCATCAACCGCATACCTTTAAAATCGTCGGAGGTGATTTTAATCTGCCAAAAATTACATGGGGCTTGACTCCGGTACCAGGTCGATATAACAAGCTAGTTGAAACATTAGAAATTTGTGGATGGGTTCAACAGGTCCCAAAACCAACCAGGGGGAATAATACACTTGATTTACTGTTCACAATCAACATAGACTCTATCTCAGTGCATACCAGTCATGAGTTTTTTATGAGTGACCATAATAATAATAATAATAATATATATTTCTGCATGTGCAGGTACACACCGTTTTTACAGGCATGATCTATAAATTACAACATTTGTTGGTTCACAGAATGTTTCCCAACTTATTAAGTTTATAGTTGTTATGAAGTGAAATCGTAGAGCGTTTGCTGTAAACTATGACCTTGAAAGGACGCGTACATCAAGTTTGTTCCAAACGTCAGAGGTTTCATAGCCGTGCTCTCAGAGCAAGATTCTGAAGAAAAAAGAGAAACAGAAGAGCAGCAAGGCACTTGGATATGAACGCAAAACGTTGCTTAACATAGTGTAGTAGAACGGACAGAGGTATAATAAATTAGAATAGAGTTGTATTGAGTATTATTCACTCTTTAAACGCCATACAATTGAACTCTAAGGCTTGAATGACGTACCAGAGCAGATATTTTGATCAACAAACATGGAAACGGACTGAAACTCTGATTCAATGTTTATCATGGGAAACTTATTTTACCACAAATAATGTTGACATCGCGCTTTCCAATCTATATCACAACCTGATATATTGTCTTGACTGCACTACTCCAGTTATTGGCCGTGTGGCTTATAATGCTAATAGGGGCCAAAATACTTTTAAAAGAAAGCTGAGGAAATTAAAATACCGCTACTATGAGCAGAATGATGTGTATGCACTTCAGAGTATACTTAAATTAATCAACAGAAATGCTTCATCTAAACGTAAGTATTTCATGAATATAGAAAATAAAGCTCTACGTAGTAAAAGCCCAGAATTATCAATACTTCGACTTTTTAAATCCCGTGTAAAGTCAAATTCCCTTGGCACGACCAAATTCTTTATAGTTAACGGAAGCATTGTTAACGACCCGAATACTATATGCGAACAATTCAGCAAGCACTTCTCGCAGTGCTACAAGACTAGAACTGAAAGCTCCATCATTACATTTCCAATGCTAACATCCAGACATCTGTCAAAAATTGATTTCACACCCTCCGCCATCAAGCAGGCCATAACTGCCCTGAAAAAGTCTTATGATGGTGGACCTGACGGGATACCTACATCATTTGTGAAATATGGAAGTAGAGAATTTCCACTATTTTGTTTGAAACTTTTCAATCTATCTATGGAATATGGGACTTATCCATCTGTATGGAAAACATCCCTTATCACCCCTAGATTCAAAACAGGACCACGTAGTGATATTATTAACTATAGGCCAATTAATTTGACATCCGTGCTCTCAAGAACCATGGAAAACATCATCCACAAACAGCTACTATCATTTTTACTTTCAGCTAATCTGATCAGCCCTTCCCAACATGGGTTCATGACTAAACGCTCATGTTTCCCATCGCACCTGGAGTTTTTTGATCAAATTACCCAGAGAAAAGATGTTGGTCAGTCAGTGATAATTCTTTACTTCGATTTTAGTAAGGCTTTCGACAGTGTCTCACACAAACTTCTTTTAAAACTCTCTTCATTTGGCATTCAGAATCCCCTTTTATCTTGGCTCAAATCTTTTTTAGAAGAACGTAGCCAAATCGTTCGCTTTGGATCTTGCTACTCTAAACCTGTAAATGTAACCAGTGGGGTTATACAAGGAAGTGTGGTTGGTCCACTACTCTTTCTCCTTTTTATCAATGATGTATGTTCCCTATTTCAGTATGGCAAGCCTTTCATTTTTGCTGATGACCTGAAAGTAGTTTATTGATTCTCTTCTCCCATGAAAGAAAGCTATATTTCAGCGGTAATCCAGGAGGAAATAAACAAGTTGTACGAATGGACTATTTCGTGGAATATGTCACTTAATGTTGACAAAAGTGGATTTATTCACATTGGTCGCTGTCTTAACTTAAATCTGACTGTACAGACACATACACTCAAACCTCTCAACACTGTTCGTGACCTGGGTTTAAGATATAGCAACAGTCTGAACTTTTCTGAACACATTATATCTCAAGTATCCAAAGCTAGAAAGCTCATCGGATTGATAATGATAAACTTCAATAATATCGAATCGAGATTGTTACTGTACAGAAAATGTATCTTACCCATTCTTGAATATGGTATTTTAGTTTACAGCAATTGTAGACATAATGATCTGATTAGAATTGAAGGTGTTCAAAGAAAGTTCACCAAAGCTGTTCTGGGGTATTCCGATAACAAAGACTATTACCAAAGATGTCAACAACTCAACTTAGAACCTCTTTGGATCAGACGTATCAAATTAAATCTTGTCTTTATCTACCGGCTCATAAACGGTATTTCCTACTCATCGGTATCAACCCCGTCATACCTTATAATATCATCCCACAATCTACGCAATAAGGAGAACATTCTAGCGATTCCAAGAACCCACACAAAATTACGTCAGAATTTTTTCCTTATTCGCTACTCAACTATGTGGAACAGACTGCCAGTGAACCTCC